TTATATCTCTGTGCCAGAACTGGGTGACACGGCCATTCCTAAACCAATCCCACCAGATGGGAATGAGATGACTAAAACTGGCTTAGCCTAAGCATGAGCCAAGTGTGGGTCTGAAGGACAAGTATTTTACGTCAGCTCTTTGCTGCTCAATATCTAAATAAAATTGAAGTCCTCCTAACAAACAAGGAGACTGCCTTTGATTAAGCAACCACCTGCTCAAAGGGTCTGTCCCACTAAGCAAGGACTAACCAAATTAAAGTGGTCAGAGCAATATCAATATAAGACAAAAGGGACTTTAAGGCCACAACAACTAACACAGAAGAAAGAGTGGCACTCACCAAAGACAAAAAGGAACAATTCACTAGGATGATACAACAATTTTCAACGTATACAGCTTTAAATTAAACGAAAGCAAAAGAAGTGGCAAAATTACAAGGAGGAATTAACAAATCGCCCACCATATGTGAGAGAGCCCATTTCCCCACACCCCCAGTGCCATGGCTTTGTGATTTGGGCCACAAATTAATTATTACATTTTTTTTTTTTTTTTTTACTACATTTGTCCTTGTTTTAGGATTTTCATTACTCCTTTTATTTCTTCCAGGGCAGAATTCTCGAAAGTAATTAATGGATTAATGAATGTTTGTTTTGGTGACTAATTGGCTGTAGGAATGAAGGGAAGCAATCAGGTTTAACATCTATTTAACCAGGAGAATATTAGTACAAGGATTGTCCTAAGGTGTGGGGGTGAGGAGCCTGGGATGGTGGAGAGAATGTACTGACGGCCTATCTGACAATGCTGCCTCTGCTGGGAGAAAAGCACAGTCTTGTGCTAGAGCCAGTTCATACTTCACCACAGCTGACTGTTAAATTTTCAGAAATTTTGTGAGCCAGTTATTAGCCACTATTATTTAGAACTACATTATATAAACTTACAATAAAATATATTTTTAACAGATAATAAATACTGAAATTCCTAATTGTTTTACTACATTTTACTGTGCTCCATGCCCTTGCGTTCTGTCTGTTGTATCTGTGTGGTGGAAGGGTTATACAATTGTGCGCTACTATTCATCTCTCCCCAACTCTCCAATCAGTGATATCACATTGGGAACTTAAAATCAGCTGTACTGGGAATACTTACACCATGGAATTGGCAAACACTACGGATCAGGCTTGATTTATTGTTTTGTTGATTGTCTAGACAAGAAAGTGATGGAGAACATGTTAATAAGGCAGGTTAAATTTAAGTATGCCATATCTGTGGCCATTACATTGTAAAGAGCACAAACGATTGAGGAAATATCCTTCCAGAATTTGAAAACTATTATCCAATTCAGCAAAGAAGGAGCTCATGTCACTGCCAAATAAGAGAAGTTCTGTCTTCCTTGTTTCACTTTCATCTCACTTGTTAATGTAAACAAAAGTATCAACCAACATTTAGGTGAGAATTACACTCATTCGTTAATTGCAACCATAGTTTGGCTACAAATATAAGAATTGGGCAAAAATCTTTGAAACATTCTGTGAGAATCAATTGGCTATTTGAAATTTACAGTGATGAGTATTGTACGTTTTATTATTATTTGTAAAGTATGTGCTATGCAACCTTTATATACATCAAATTTATAATAAACAGAGACATGCATGCAAACTTCTTTTTTTCCTAGAGAGCTGGTTGTTCACTATTGAAGAGCACGTCACTGATGGAGATAATGCATGGTATGGTGTGGGAGTAAAATATCGTATGTTTTTCTTTTTAAATATGATCTAGATTGCACTGTCTCTGAGAGTTCCCGCTTGGCTTGAGACATAGGCACGTGTGTCTGATTCTTCACTCTGCTTTATTCTTTATCTCACACAAACTTGGAATATCAAGTCTGCTCTGGACTCTTCTGCAGAACCTCCTCCCACTTCCCACCCCACTGTAGTATTTGTGACCCCAAGTATCTCCTCATTGGGAAAATGTACCATTAGGGATTACTGTACTGGCAGAGTGAGGGGTACCGAGGGGTACCGGAGACTTTCTCTAGAGGCCTGAAGAAGATGAAGCGCCTGAAAGGGACCTGAGCACAGGGAGGAAGGCCAGGAACTGGGATGTGTCTATCAGGTGACTCCCTCTGAGGACTGAACTTGGAGTGGTAACAGAGAAGGTGGCTTTCTGAAGTCACATCCCATTTCGGGGGCCAGGGCCAGGAGTTTCAGAAGCAAAGTGAGGCAGAGAGGTGGGTGGGCATGAGGCGCTCACAGCTCGCTGATTCAGAACAGATGGGAAAGCCACCCTTTCCCCAATGTACGCTTCAGTGGGAGAAACGGGGAGTCTGACACTAGGTTAATAGACGTTTGTTGAGAAGCTGAAAGGGGAAATTTAGAGGAAACAGCCAAAAGGAAGTCAGCCAAAAAATGCAAATGTGGGTTGTGATATTAAGATCAGCCATGGATATGAGGCGGAAGGAGAACCAAGGAACAGCCATGCAAACATGGCCACTTCTATGCTGGAGGCTGCTCTCCCACAGGCCCTGAGAGGACACTTGCTTCCTAGGAAGAACATGAGTTTCAGGAGGTAGACACTCCGGGGAGATAGAGATTTGAGGGGGTATAAGCCCACTGTGGGAGGGCGGAGGGTACTGGTTCAACAAGTGAATAGGGTCAAAACAACTTAGGAGAGAAGTCAAGGTACTTTGGGGCCTAATGATGATTAACAATTTGCTCCTTCTCGAACTTTCTTTCCTTGGCTTTCAAGACGTGCCATCCTGACCTTCTGATAGCTCCTTTCCAGTCCACCCAGGAATGAGGAGCAGACCTTGAGTGGCAAGGCACGTTGCTGATAATTAAACAAATCCTTGAAAGAATTCCGGAAACGGCCAGCTAAAACTTCTACTCTAAATAACGGCTTTCACTTTCACTCTGATTTTATTTGTTGTAAAATGACGACGTGAGGAAAAAGAGAAACTTTGTTTGCCCAGTTCTGGACCCCCGAATTCTGGGGGAGAGGAGGGTGTTGATTTTAGTTGTGGTGTGGGGCGGGGGACACAGTCACCCCTGTGTGGCTGGGAGCTGTAACAGCCTCTCTGCGTCCGCCCCACGTCCTCCTGCTCGGACCCCGGCTGGTCTGGAACAGATGATGAGCGCCACCTGCGGGTGAAAATATCTCAATACTGTTCAGCATTAGGTATCACGGATCAGGAAAAAACGCCCAGAAAACTCTCTTTGGCCGTCTCTGGTTCTCTTCATCCTGAAATTTAGTTTTACTGTGATTTAAGAGACAATAGGTAAGGTCCAGCCCTGCAGGGGGAGGCGGCTCTAATTGTGGCAAGAGTCTAAGAGACCTGCCCACCTCCTTCACAGAGAAAATAGAATGGGTGCGGGGCGAGCTCCCCTGCCTTGGCGTCCGCGGTCGTTCAGAATTGCCTACTTCTGTACTCCATCTCCGCCCTGTTCCCGGTGCAGTGGGAAAGGTGTGCCTTCCTGAGGCTCATCCTCTAGGGTCCCCTCCCACCTTCCCCCACAACCCGAAGCTTCAACTTTCCCTTTATCTTTCTACCAATATTTAAACATGCCAAAGACTCTTCCATCTTAAAAATATTTAAAGAGCCAGAAAACAAAAATAACAACTCCCTGATGCTATAAGCCCATAAGCTGTTGCCTGATTCCCTCTTCGCCTTCAGGGTCACCCTTCTAGAAAGAGCTGACTACTCTTGCTGCCCCCTTCCTTTCAGTCCTCTGTCCACGCCCTCACCCTCCCCTGCCTCTTCACCAGGAGGACAGTGCCTGGCAGGTCCCCAGCAGTCCAAGAGACACTTCTCTTACCTGATATGCTGTATACCTGACACCTGGTATATATTTGAATGACAACCCCTCCTTCTCACCTGAAACACTCTTTCATTATGGGTTAAGGATACACACTTTCCTAGCCTCTCTCCCACCTCTCTGGCCCCCCTTGGTGCTCCCATCTGGTAGATGACACTATTGTCTAGCCAGCCGCTCAGGCCATCCGTGGATGACCATGGAGTCATCCTTGAGTGTCCTCTCCTTCTGTCCCCACCCTTCAGCAAGTCCTGCAGCTGTGCTTTCAATCAACTTGGAATCCACCCTTCCTCGGTCCTCCTCTGCCTGCACCCTGGTCTCAGCCACTCTCATCTCTCACTGGGACACAACAACAGCCACTTGGCTGGCCTCCCTGCCCGCTCTCTCGTTACACACAGCAGCCAAAGTGATCCTGGAGAAGTAGATCACGTCATGAACTAGCCCCGCCTCAACCCTCCCAGGTCATCCCTCATCATTATTAGGCCGCAGGTCACATGTCACCTGCCCATAAAACCTCCCTGAGCCCCCACACCTGGGCTACGAGCTCCTCCTAATTTGCACCTCCTAATTTGTTCCTTCCAAGAGCCCTTATTCCACTGTCATACCTCATGCGTCCCCACAGCTTCCTGTGCTCAGTGAGCTCAGGAACTATCTTATCTGTTGACTCCATCCGGAGGGCATGGCACCCTGTAAATATCCCATAAAACACTGAATGCACCGTTACCCCCTCATTTCTAGACGTTTAATATCAACAGGTCAGGGAACAAATGCAAATTAAGGAAAACAAGGCAAAATTCTGATACTTAATTCACTGCCGAAAGAAGTCCCCAAATGGGCCCCAAACATTCTAAAGAGTCACCATTTGCCCAGCCATTTTATTTTCTTGTAAAATGTCCGCCTGCGGCAACAATGAAGTTGTCTTTGTGTCCGCGCAGGGTCTTGTGACTCAAAGATGCTGATTTCAGCCGTGGCTCGGGTGAGTGGCACCTAGGGCCCTGAGCTTAGGGACCTGAATACAAAAACGAAGGGAGGCCAGATGCCTGAGCGGCGACGGCCAGCTCTTGCTGTGGGCAGAGGTGAAGGTGAAGAACCGGGGAGCGCCTAGGCCACTCGCGGGGCAGCTCCAAGGCCAAAGGCAGAAACCAAGGGCGGGGAGGAGTTTTCCGGGAATCGAAAGCGAAAGGGGCAAAGTTAACCGGACGGAGCTGGGGAGGGAGTGGCAGTCGGCGCCAAACGAGCCAAACGAGCGGAGCCTGAGGATGGCTGCGTCGGGTCCCTTCCCGCTGCTGGTCGAAGGGTCCTGGGGCCCCGACCCCCCGAAGAACTTGGTCACCAAGTTGCAGATGTACTTCCAGAGCCGGAAGAGATCGGGAGGCGGGGAGTGTGAGGTCCGCCAGGAGCCAGGCAGCCCGCCCCGCTTCCTAGTGCTCTTCTTCCCGGAGGACGGTGAGGGGCGCAAGGCTGGGGGTCTGAGGGGACAAGGGGCTCTTCCTTCAGGGGATGCTTGGGGCTGGGGCACGCAGCGGGAGAATCCGTGCGGCTCCAGCAACGGCGCTAGGGGAGAGCGTGCGGGGCCGCAGAAGGGACAGAGAGGACTCGCGGGGGCGCTGCGGTTCCCCGCGCGGCCTTCCGGGCACTCCGGGTGCTGCCTGGAGGCGGCGGCAGAACCGCGCAAGTGGGTTAAATTAGACTTTGAGCATGGTGGAACAGAAGGGAGCTGAGAGCTGGTTCACCCACCTCATTTTACAAGGCTGCATAATGTGTTACTGGCAGAGTAGCAATTCCATCGCAAGTTTTGCCTTCTTCCTATTACAGCAGCAGTTCTAGAACTCCAAAGGTTTATGGGAACACAATTTTAAGGGAAGAGAAAGTTTCCTGGGAGAGTCGCATCTAAACTGACTTCTGAAGGTGAATTCAGTTCCTGACAGGCAAGATGTTGGGAAGGGCTCTTCACATGGGAGCTTGCTGCGTGAACAAGCGCTGGGGGCAGGAAAGCACGTGGCATCTTCAGGGGACAAGCGGGGCGCCCTCAGGCTGGTTCCCTTGAGTACTGAGCTGTGTCCTTAGCCCTGTGCTCAACTAACGTCATAGACTGGATGACAAAAGGAACACGTGGGGTCTGGACATTTTATAAGATTACAGAGGGGCTGCTTACATTAAAAAAATCTGAGCCATCTCTGATGGCCTAGTTGTTAAAGTTCGGTGCGCTCAGCCTGGCTGGCAGGGAACCAGACCACTCATCTGTCAGCTGCCATGCTGTGGCTGAGGCTCACATAGAAGAACTAGAGGGACCTACAACTAGGCTACACAACTATGTACTGGGGCTTTGAGGGGGGAAAGAAGGAAAAGGAGGAAGATTGGCAACAGATGTTAGTTATGGTGAATCTTTCACTGAAAAGAAAAATCGTAGGCATTCTGCTATTAAACCTTTTTGTGAAGAGGAGGGGAGGGAATTAAGGCTAAGAGAAAGTTGGGTTGAGATGATGGAGGGCCCTGTATGACTCTAAGGAATGTGAACTTTGCCCACAGGTAGGCAGGAGAAAGCCATGTCTAAATATACTTTAGGAAGATAAATTTGGTTGAAAATAAGTACATTGGTTTCTGTCGGGAGAGACCATAGAAATCAGGCCTTTTAAGAGGTTCATGCAATGTTTCTTTGTTGTTTTGTTAAAGATTGGCACCTGAGCTAACAACTGTTGCCAATCTTTTTTTTCCCCCTTCTTCTCCCAAAGCCCCCCCAGTACATAGCTGTATATTCTAGTTGTGAGTGCCTCTGGTTGTGCTATGTGGGATGCTGCCTCAGCATGGCCTGAGGAGCAGTGCCATGTCCACGCCCAGCATCCAAACTGGTGAAACCATGGGCCGCCAAGCAGACTGCAAGAACTTAACCACTTGGCCAGGGGCCAGCCCCTTGTGCAATGTTTTAAGTGAGGACAAGTGAGGCCTTGAACAGTGAAGTCAATGTCGGGGTGGAAGGTACCTGTTTGTGTCCTGTTGTGGATTTGGCAATTCGTGCTATGGGAATGGCGAATGCTCCACTTGAGAGAGGGAGAAAGAGCCCCTTTTCTTTCTGTTATTTTTTTGGTGGGGAAAGAAAGAGGTTCAGCAATGGGAGAGTCATGGGGATCCCCCAGGAAACGTGGAGATTGCCAGTGGTTCTGGTGTCACTTGGTAGAGGGTCAGAGGCTGCCTAAAATCACACTGTCTGGGTGTAAATATAGAGGCTTCTTGGAGCAGAAGGCTGTGCTGCTGGTCAACACACAGGACCTTTGTCAAGGGCCCGCTGGCACTTCTTCCTCTGTTTCACAGTGGTCCTCAGACTGGAGCGGGGGTGACATTCTGAGTTGATCGTGGGTTAGGAGTTTGGGGCTTTGCTGGGGAAGTTCCCTCCTCATAGACAAGCAGTTGAGCAGCTGCGTTCTCCCCTCCTACCGCCGTTAGGAAAGGGGGAGGACCAGGACCCTGCAATTATCTGCCTGCTCAAGGCACCTACCAGGTCTGTGCTGGGAGGCACATGACCGCTGTTCCCACAGCGAGCACTTTTCCCCCTGGAATCTCTAGGCAACGGTGTGAACCATCCTGATCCTGCCTTCCTGACGCTGGATTTGGAGGAGCATTGGGGGCAGGGGAGAGGCAGGGAGGCTTACGAGCTCGGAGAGCAATTGGAATGCTCTAGGCAGGGATCCGAAAAGGAAAGGAGGAGAGGGGTGCACAGATAGGTATGGAGGAAGGAGACCGGCAGGAGACAGGAGACCTGCTTGGCTCAGAGCCCTCATGAAAACAAAGAACAAAGTTTTCCACGATTAGTCACCAAGGGAGGCTCAGAAGGGCAGCTGTGCAAAGTGAGTCATTTCCCCCTGGGTTCACTTTTCCACAAGGGCTTTTACCACTTTGATTCCAACTGTCAACATCACCTTGGACCTGGCCCTTAGGGATGCTCCTTTCTTCTTTAGAATCCCATTGTCCTCAGGAATAGTTCCCAAATTGGGGCCCCAGACCCCCTGCCTCTGAGTCACAGCAGGTGAAACAGGCACATTGCCAGCCGTGTCCTGGAGATTCAGGAACCCTGAGTGTAGGGGGCTTGAATCTGCTCGTTTCGCCAGCACCCCGGGTGACCTGATGGGCTCAAGTTTGAGAATGCCTGTGTTTGATAACCCTGAACAAACAAAAAGCGAAATAATGATAGAAAATACAGACAGCATAAACATGCAAACAGCACAAAATATAATTTTGGGATGATAACATCATTCTGTTCTAGCCTCCACAGCAGAAACGATGTCAGTCTCCCTGTCAGGCTTCTTCCTTCCTAGCTCGAAGCCCACTGCCCTCTTCCTCCACCCTAGGCTGCTCCAGTGGTCCCTCTTGTGTTACTCTCAACAGGACAACTCAAAACCTTTTATGGTCAAAGTTCTTAGGGAGTGGAAAGTCTCTCTTCAGTTTCGGTTTCCCATTAGAGGAGCTGCTTTCTTAGCAGCAAGTTGTCAGCAGTTTGCTAACAGTGAGTGACCTGAGTGACCTGTCCTGGCCATCCTAGAGCACCTTCTCCTGCGGGGATCCCCTCTGCCCTCCACTCCCGGAAGTGGCCTCAACAGGTGCAGGCCCATGGTGTAACATGACTTTATTCATATAATTCACCTCATAGGATTGAGCCCCCCAGCACTTCTCTGTAGAAATTAGTGTAGAGCAAACAGGAACCATTCGGAAGCTCTCTCTTACTTTTATATAGTTCACTGAATTTCTGAAAAGTTGAGTAAAATTGACTTACAAGATTTTAAACCCTGTTTCAGATTGATCATCTTTTCTGGTCATCATTTGACTCCTGATTATTGTCAGTCTCTTTGGGGTAAGGGAAGCCATCTTCTCCTTAAATAGAATTAAATGTAGGCGGTCAGAAGTTGGTACAGAAGGGAGACTGTCCACATGAGTAAGGGTGGCTGGACGTCAGAGTTTTGGCCCTTTTTCCTCCCAGGTTCACCTTCTCCTTGTTGGGAATCACTTACTGATGTTAACTGTCTGTTCTTTTGAAATAGTGGTGCCCATATGTATTGCACACAGTCTCAGAACAGGCTGGCACATTTAGAGCCTGGATAGGACTCCACCGAAGTCCATGGAATAATAAAAGGAATGCATCCCAAAGGTCCATGACTCTAGACAACTGGGCTTACAAAACTTAGCTTACTCTCTGCCTCAGGGGTCTCATGCAGTCCTCATTCTTCACTAGCTTGGGACATTCCCTCAGAAGTCTGTGTGAAAACATCTGCCCTCTCCTAGTGAAATTAGACTCTGGCGTTCCTGCTCATTGTTTCTGGGGCCCGTTTCTGAGTTGGCATCCAGTTGAGACTCACTTTCCCCACCCCTTCATGGATGGCTGAGGTGGGCAAACTATTCAAGCTCCTCTTTATGAAAGATTCTTACCTGTGTCTTTGGCCTCATCAGGCCAGCCATATCAGAACACAACATGGTAGTCACACATTCACGGCAGAGCCACACTTGTGAACAGAAGGGCGTTCTCGAAGGCTCCTCTTCACTCTGACCTTTTTGTACCGTTTGACTATGTTGACCACACCTCCACCTCAAAGCTCACTCCTCCCTGTTCTCCGGGGTCTGAGATTCACTGATTTTCCTTTTCTTTCTGGCTATTCCTTATAACTCTTGTGGGTGTTAGAAAATTCACTCACAGACACTACTTTGAGGAAACAGATTCAAGAGAAGTTAAGATATTCTCAATGTCACTCATCTAGTGTGTGGCAGAGTTGGAGTTTGAATCCGGGTCTTTGGAATCTTATGTCCACTGTTCAGTTTTTTCATTACAGCCCAGCTGCCTAATGCTAATTCTTTTTTTTTTTTTTTTTGGTAAAGTCTCTTCCATTCCTTCTTTTCTACTCCTTTTACAATGGGATGTGAGGCTCTTATCATCACAGGTTAAAGAATGGATTGAAACAGTGCTTACCTAGGCTCCTGGCAATTCTGTTTGTGGTCTCCTGAGTCACCTTCCCCAAACCTGCCTTTCTTCGTGCCATGCCTAAGCACCCGTCTTCACTGGCTCACCACGAGGGGTGCTTTCACTATTTTCCTTCAGTGTAGAATAAATATCGCCATCTTTCTGAGTGCCTACTGAGCATCAGGTACTGTACTAAGTTCTTTATGATGTTTCTTCCATTTAATCCACATAACACCTGTACGAGGCAGTCTTCATTAATTACTTACTAATAGACAAGGCTTTGTAAGTAAGGCTTATTAAGGAACATGTTCAAGGCTAAAGAAATAAGTTTAAAGAGGGAATTCAAATCCGTGTCTACTTGCCCCACTTTCCTCTTTTCACTACACAAGGCCTCTCTTGGGAAACTGAGCAAGCCATTGATTGGTGATGATGAAGCCTATGGAAATCATGGAATAATTGTGACTAGAGATTGCTTGACAGTGGACTCCTTTTCTCTTTAACTTTTAGTTCGGCCAAAAGTTCTGGAGAGAGCGAACCATGAGTTAGTATGGCCAGGAAAAGGAACATTCAAGTTAACTGTCCAGTTGCCCACAGCCCCAGATGCTGTCTTTGAGGAGGAAGTTCCAACAGAAGTAAGTAAAGGAGTAAAAGGGAAGTAGAGTGTCTTCCAGGGCGTGTGGGGTGGGAATCACGAAAGGAAAATACCGTGAATGAGAAGTGTAAGTCAAACAAGAGTGAGAAAAGCACCTTACAGATGTGGCGGGAGTGACAGTGGGATAGGGTAGGTGTGGAATAATGAAGGAGGGAGCACTTTTTGTTTGATTTTAGACTCTTTTGGAAAAGTCAAGATTTAGGGTTTATAATCAGGATGGTTTGAGATGTAAAATTTTGGGTCTGTTTTTCCTGGGTGCTTTTAAGCTGGAATGTGCTATATCCATTTTATTTTGACATCATTTTGAGGGGACAGTGATCCATACTGCATGCGCTAAGTATTTCCTCAGTTGTCAAATGAGATAGTTAGAGTCTCTATCTCGGGGGATGGTTGTGATGATTAAGTGGGACAACCTCTATAAAGCACAAGGGACAGTGCTTGTTAATAGTAAACACTCAATAAATGGTAAATGGGGAAAAGATTTAGGTCTCACCCCATACCTCAAACGCTTGGTGTTAATTTGGGTTTTTGTTATTTGTGACTCGTTTTTACCCATGCTTTTTGTGCTTAGTGGATATGCCACTAGAGATGAGGTGCATTCAACAGAATCACTGCCAGAGCTTTTCATTATCGTTTCTGTTGACCCTACATTTCCGGGCTGGTCCCAGGGACATTTTCTTAATGTAAAGAAATAATTGTAATTTATTAATGCTATTTTATTGTTTGGATTTCAGGAATCCAAGCCCAAAGAACATGTCAAAGAACCAGGTAAGGTCTCAGTTGAGATGACTGGCTTTCACCAGACAGTTGTGCTTTTATTAAAGATGGCAGATGCAGAGGTCATCCTCTTCTGGACTTCACTAGGCAGGGTTTGCACAGCTTGGAGATGCCTTGGGCTGCATCATCTGCATCCTCTCAGCCAGCTGTGCAGAGGGCAGACACTGGGGCAGCCCCTTCAGCTCTCATGGCTCAGGGATGGGGACAGCTCTCTCTGTGGGGACTGGGACACACCTTGCGGTTGAGGGGAGAACAAAGAGGTGCCTGGGAGGTGGTGAGGAACTGACTTTTAGAGCCCGCCTGTGCCCGACTGGCCACTGAGAAGCAAGGATATGGCGTGTCAGTGGGTGCCGGGGGTGGCTAAGTCAGTTTCTGGGCACTGGGTGTGGAGGGTGTTGTCCGTTGGACCGACGACAGGAAGGCGTGAGTCCTCTGTGGACAGCAGCTTCTGAGCCCTGGCGCAGACCAGCCCCACTTCTCCTTGCCCCCTCTGCTGTAGGAAACAAGCCTGCAGCTGAGTAGCTGTTGTGGACTCTGCTGCTTCCCCAGTGCCCGGGCGTTGGCCTGTAGTACCACCTGACATTTAAAGAGGGGACTGGGTTTCCTGGCTAAGCCTGTTGTTCTAAAGGGGAGGGAATGATGAACTGTGCTGAGTGGCTGAGCAGAAGAGATAAAGTGATACGTTCCTCCAAATCTGAGGGGAAGGAATCCCCAAAAATGTGTAAATATTGTCCTCTAAAATTGAAATTGTCTTGGGAATATATTTAGATTTTAACTGTCTCTTTTTGAAAGTGGCATTCGGGTGAGAACTGCCTTTACTTGGCAAGAAAAGGACGTATAGATTGTTTTACCCAACACGGATGTACTATTAAACTGTAGAATCTAGTATGCATGATTTTCTTAAGAAGCTCCTGAGTCTTATGAGATATGGATTTTTTGTCTCTTTAGAGTAATTCCTGCTTTCCATTCTTCAGATATGGGACTGACTCACTCAACTCCCAATGTTCACTGTGATCCCCTAAATCCTTATCTGTTTCTCGGAAGATGCCTTATGTGCTGTACCATCAAGCCCAATTTTAGACCAGGAAGTGACCTAATATTTGTACATTTATATCTGTACCATTTCCCATTTCTAGAATTTAATCAACTGTGATTCTTATGGTTTCATAGATTTTACCTTGACTCTGTCTCAGCTGATTTCTTAGCACTGTTTCAGATTTGTGTAAAACCCCAAGTGTATTCTCAGGGAGAGCCATCCAGCCCCACTCTGCCAATGGACTTTTCATTGTCCTAGAGATTTTAGACCCATTTATTAACCTGTTTTTACCTGACCCAGCCTCTAATGGTAGTAACCAGCCAAGAAGTTGGATGGTCTTCAACGAGATACTTAAGTTGGCCCCTTTAAGAGATGGAAGAGAAGGTCCTTTGTTGAATGGCTGCTCCACACTGGATCCTGACAGTGGCCCTAAGGCTAGGTCTCTTGAATTAATTGGAATGGTCTAGACAGTTTTCAGAACTCAGCAAAATGAGAGTGGAGCGTGGTTCCCTAATAGGGCCCATGTCACAGGGATGTGGAGAGCAGAGGCTGCTGCACCATGAATGCACCAGGCACGCCTGAAACCCAGGGCATGAAGTAAAAGATTGACAAGTCTTTGACAGAGCAGGGCAAGGTCAGTCAAGGCACACACCAGCATCGGGGGTGAGTACTGAGCTGCTGTCCTGTTCCAGGCTAAGCTGAATTGAGCTGGGCCTGAAAAGTGGAAATCAGCAAGTAGAAGAATGTGGAGAAAAGAGAAGGGCAAGAGCAGAGAAATACTGGACACTTGTACTCAGAAAATTCTGGATTTTCCAAATCTGTATCTCCAGCCTGGGCTCTCTTCTAAATTCTAGACCTTGTGTCTGACCTTCCTGTTAGAAAATATGTTAGAGCCACCTGGTCTGAAGCCAACTGTGTCATCTTCCTCCCCAAACCAGAGTCCTCTTTTGGCTTCCTTATTTCTCTTGAAGTACATAACCAGTCTGCCTATAGCCTCCTAGAAATTTCAGTCCTCTCTCTTCTTTAAGCTTTCACATATGTTGGGCACAGAGACTTATCAATTTTTTTTAATTTTTATGTTTTCTTCCTCCAGCACTCCTTCACTGCAGGGCCACTTTATTACCTCACAAATCCAGCGTGGCAGGAGCGCCTTCCTTGCTCTCTGTATCTGAGCTCTTTCTCCTTAATCTGACCAGTCCTTTGTACTATTGTTGAATATCCTGGCATCCTTTTCACAGAAGCTTCCATGCCTCACCCTTACCACCAACTGCAAAATAAAGTCCAGACCACATTCTGGACAAAGCCGACTTTTCCAGTCTCCTTTCTTACATCTCCGCACATAAGTGCTCCTTGAGCTTCATCAGTGAGATCGCCATTTCCTAAACAGTTTGGTGCCATTACAGTACTGCCTGTACTTCTGTTGCTCACGATACCCTCTACCCTACTCATCTCTACCTAACTTGTATATGCCCTTCAAGATCTACTCAGCTTCGTCCTCTTCTCTGAAGCCTTTCCAAGCCAGCCCAATCCCTTTCTCTTTCTTGGACTTCTGGTTTGATTGTTGATTTTCTTTATTTGGCAGTTAACCAAGCCTCTCTGTGATGAAGCTTCTAGTAGCCGTGGGGTTATGAAACTATGTTGCTGGAAAGGCTCTTACTATTCACTTAATCCAGTACTCTCATTTTATCATTAAAAGACTTGCCCGAGGTCACATGGCTAAAGAGTGGCAGTGTCAGGGGTTAGACTCATACAGCCTCACCCCTAGCCCAGTAGTCATTCTGGTTTGTCATACCTAATTTATGTTGTTATCAAATCCTTCAGATATTTTTTATTTGGCATGAGTGTGTATGTATGTGTGTGTGGTGCCACAACCAGCACATAACAGGAATATTTTCAGAGTGATCTAACCAGTGTAACAAACAACTCCCAAGTCATAGTTCAGTGTAGCTGGCAGCTAGAGTGGTGGGGGGAGTCTAGACTGCTCCGCGCAGTCAGCAGGAATCCAGGCTCCTTCTGTCTTTTGACACCATTATCTTCGATATGTGGCCTCCAAGGTCACTGCAAGGGAGAATAGACATTCATGTACAGGGGATTTGTATTGGCCAGGCCTGGAGGTGGAATTTGCCACTTCCACCCATATTCCATTAGCCACATCAACTCTACTGTAGGAACTGAACTGTAGGAAGTCTGGGAAATGTTGCCCAGGAAGAAAAAAAAAAAGGATTTGATGAGCATGTAGCATTTTACTCTGCCATAATAAACATTTACAAATGTCAGTTCCCTTTCTCAGTTTCTTGGGTACCTCTGTCAGAAAAGCTGTTCCTTATCTAATGTTTTTTGTATGCACCCCTCTCCACACATCCAGTGTCTTGAACATAATAAGGCCCCAATTGAACAGTTGCTCACAGAATGTCTAAAGATCACATCACATGCATTATGCTTTACTGGACAAGCACAGAGTGAGACTGACCTTATGTGTGTATGTAACTCACTTATGGCCAATAATGGAGAGGAACAAGCTGGCTGGGGTGATTGCTATTCAGTGAGTTAGATTATATATGCAGCTCTCTAGGCCATCTCACCTTCTATGTTTAGTCCTTAGTCATTCACTGCCAACATTCTTTTTTCTCTTTCGAAATAGGAGCTTATTGCTTTTCAAACTCTTGCTTTCCTCCAGTGGCCCAAGCAGTAAATCTGCAATTCAGCAAACACTTATTGAGCCTCAAGTATGTACCGTGTGCCAACAATACAAACACAACTACACATGTTCCTCGCTTTTGAGAAGCTGAGTTCAATAACTATAATATGGTGCTGTGATAGAGATCTAAGTCAAGTGCTATGACAGATAAGGCAGGTTTCTCAGAGAGACAAGACAGAAAAGACTGTAATAAAATTGAGCTTAATAATAATAGACAAATGCTGCATTTAATTTTTAATTAAATTAAGCAAAAAGCCTTCTGAGATCTGTTTTTATTTGAGTTAGCCAAGAGATTGGGAAAGAAAAAAGGCAATGTCATATGCTAATTTATTTTGCTAAGACCGTGGTAGATAAATATAACATTTTGTACCTCTTTTGTCTCCCTAAAATCAGATGCATCAGAAGAACTGGAAACAGAATTCTCTCTCACTAGAAGATCAGAAGAAATGGAAGATATCCCCAAAGAATGTGAAAATATTCCCTCTTTGGTTGCATTTGAAAATCTCAAGGCAAATGTGTCGGATATAATGTTAACCTTGTTAGTGGAGAACATAAGTGGCCTGTCCAGTGATGACTTTCAAATGGAAGTAATGCGAGATTTTGATGTTGCCGTGGTTACCTTTCAAAAATATCTAGGTAAGATCAAGTGATGCTTCATTTCCCAGTGTTCTTTGCACCACAGTTGGGCATTTTGGACACGCAGCTTATGGAGCTTCTCTGAAAGTTTGACTCTTTCTAGTAGCTGGTAAGAGGGAACTCCAAGTTAATAGAGATGCTTTTTTACTTTGAAAGGGAAGCAAATTTCTTTTGAAACCAAAATGTGGTGTGTTTAATGGATCAAACTTGATTGGATCAGTTGTGTGTGTGTGTGTGTGTGAGAGAGAGAGAGACATGTAGATAGAAATCTAAAGTCTAAGGTTGTTAAAGTGATTCCAAGCAGAAGAGTGAGTGTTTTCACCTGTGTTATCTCATTGGAAGAAGTAAATAGTGATCTGTATTACCAAACTGGACCTAGCAGAAGGTAGTAATAGTAGCAAACACTTGTATAGTGTTACTCTAAGTCAGGGACTATGCTAAGCTCCTTATATGTATTAATTCATTTGTTCCTTTCAACAATCTTTTGAGATTATTATTATCATTCCTCATTTTACAGTTGAGGAGACAGAGGTAGAGATGCTAATAAATGGAAGGACTGGATTTGAACCCAGGCAGCCCACCTTTACAGCCTGTTCTCTTATCCCCTTTACCGTAATTTCCTAGTACTTTCTTGGTCACCACAAATGCAGGGATGAGTAAGTGTGTGTGATCCAGAAAGTGAGTGCTTCTTAAGGTCTGTGTCAGCAGTCTGTGGACAATCTCTGAAACTGGAAGAGCCATCTCCAGAAAGACAAGGACATTTTCCAGTCCCCAGCCCTTTCTATCCCATGGCCATGGCAGTGGGCTAGTTAATTAAGAGTGCAGGTCATGAAGTCAAAATTCTAGCTCCGCCATTTAACTAATTATCTGAGGTTGGCCAAGTTACTACCCTCTGTGTGCTTCACTTTCCTCATCTCTAAAATGGGGATAATAATACCTACCTAAGACAGTTTCTGGAGGATTAAATGAGCTAATGTTCAAAAAGATGTTAACACAGTACCTGAGACATGGTAAGGACTCAATAAAGGGAGCTATTCTTACTTAAAATTTATGATTATTTCTTATAAAGGTAAAAGTAAATGGACTTGCTTTTGTTCATTGATCAAAAATCTTAAATACCTATTATGTGCCAGACACTTGTCTAAGTGCTGTCGGTACAGAGAGAAATAATTCTGGGTTCCTGTTCTTGAGGCACTCACATGGGGCAGGGAGGAAACCCATGTGTAAGTGAATAATGAAGATGGAAGAGAAGGAGCTGCCTCCCTCAGCTGTGAACAGGAGGCTGTGGGGAATGGGAGGAAAGCGGACCCAGACAAGGTGGCTTCAGTTTGCCCTACCTACTCTCTTCTGCGAAGTTTATACTCCAGCAGTGCCAGTCTGTCAGGTCCCAGATGCACTACGTTGTTTCATGCCACTGCTGTTCCCTCTGCCCGAAATGCTTCCTCCCCTTATCTATCTGGTAAACTCCTCTTCATCCTTAGAAACCCAGGCCACTTACTCTGGGAATCCTTGTCTGATTCCTAGTATTAGCCTTCCCACCTCATTTGATCCCACAATAGGTACTTTGCTTGCTTTTCCTCCCTCCTGGATGGCAAAGTTGCAAGGGCTTGTTATATTCGTCATTCTATCCCCAGATCCTGGCACAGTGCCTGGTACATCGTGGGCCCACCATCAATATTTATTAATTGGAAAGAGATAGTTGGGCTGAGTCTTGAAGGAGGAATAGGACCAGAATAAAAAATTGGAGAAGGGCATGTCAGGCACAGAAAATTGTGTATACAAAGGCAAAAGAATGGAGTTTTCAAAGAGAATAGAGTTTTCAAAATAATGACTGGTTTTTGTGGCAACATGGGAAATAAAATGAATAGCAGGAAATAACCAGAGGTGATGCTTGCAAATTAGTTTGGAGTCAAATAGCCAAGGGCACTGTAAGGCCAGCTATGGCGTGTGAACTTATGCCTGCAGGTAATGGGAAGCCACTGAAAGGCTCGACAAAGGAGTGGAATGAGGAGATTTGTGTTGTAGAGAGAGCACTCAGGTGACAACGTCAAGGAGGGATGGAGAGGGCCACCTAAGGGACAGAGCTCAGTGACAGTAATCCAGGCAAGACCTTCATATGTGCGTCATTCAGAGAGCTGGAGTTTTAGGCTTGTAAATTCTCATGGAGGAATTAAACTTTTGAGTCTAAAAATTCAGTGCTTAGCTCTCTCCCTTATCTCAATTAATATCCACCGTTTCTTCTGAATAATATAAAGATATAATCATAATTTTCTGATTGATTGATTTTGGTTTGTAGATATCATGAAATTTGTTGAAGATTGTGCCAACTACCATTCAGTGAAAGAGCTTCAGCTTTCTCCAAGACTTCTGGAAGTGACAAAAACTATCAGGGTTGAAAACCTACCGCCTGGTGTTGATGATGATAGTTTAAAAAATTTATTTGGAAATCCTCATAATGGAGGGGGAAGAGTGGTCAACATTGAGTATTTTCCTGAAGAGAGTTCGGCTCTGATTGAGTTTTTTGACAAAAGAGGTAACATCTCTTAGCCTGATTTTGTAAACCTTACCTGGCATAATCTAAACCATATTTTAGTAGATCTTAACCCTTATCAGTTGAATTCTGATGTATTTAATTTTTTTGCTCATATATTTAATTGTAAATCCAATTAGTCATTCTGTTCATCTGGGATATATGCTTAATGAGTCCAGCGATTCAAACTTTACAGAAGCAACGTCAGGTTTTTGAAAAATATAAGGATAATCTTTCATGAGTCTCTGCCTGCGATGGACTGAAAAATATATAATTCTTAGCGTCTGAAATACTGTATTAAAAAAAGAGATGATCTGTGTTGTAGCTGCACACTTGGTACAAATTCTCAAGTTAATTTCAACAAGGTTAGGTAAGGAAATACTCAGACACACATACAGTTCCTATAAAGTATCCTTCCCTTTTCACCTGTCAGTGTCATCATTTCACATGAGCAATGGATGCCTGCTGGATTATTCTTTGCAGTGACCCTGTGAAAACCATGTCCAGCTGAACCTTAGGGAAACACTTCTTAGGGTTTTGTTGACATAGATTGCCAGTTCTCTGAGGATGAGTCAGCTTGGAGACTGATGTTGAGTCTCCACTGATGTTCAGAGGTCAAGGCTGAGGAGTAGGAATAAGGGGGCCAGGCTTCTTAGGGAGAGAAAGAGTGTTGTGCCTGGGACTAATTGGGGGAGCACGAGAAAGGAGCATGTGGTATGCTACCCATGTAAGAGAAATTTTTTCATGGGGCTACCTGGAGGAAGCTCCCTTCAGCTTTTACAAGTTAGGGAAACTAGGGTGAAGGTTGGGTTTGGATTAAAATGGAATGAAAGACTCCATGTTCCTTGGGCAAAGGGGCTAAAGTGGAGCTTCTGTCAGACATCCTTTAAATCTCCCTTAGCCTGGTCTTGGGCCCAGGGAGAAAGCTACATCAAGCTCTCTACCCTAGAAGTTAACCTCCCAGCCTGTGGTGGAGTTGACAGCTTTGGGGCTTTCAAACATCTGGAGGGCGTGGGGTAGTTGCATGTTTCCTCAGAATGTCTACATTACACGTGTACAACTCATAACAGGAACTACTTAATTAAGGTTCATTTTATGCCAGAGCCACACATATGAATGTCCAGGGCACTCTCAAGGTTTTATATCACCTTGACCTCTTTGCACCAACTGACTATGTTGACCACACCTCCTTCTCCAAACTCACTCATCCCCTGTTCTCTGTGGTCTGAGATTCACTGGTTCTCATTTTCTTTCTCTGGCTGTTCCTTCTTATAATTATCACTTACATTTTAGCTCTGCAGTGTGCTACAAAGTGCATTCACAGACATCACTTTATGGGCATTGCTATTATTATAATCTCTGTTTTACAAATGAAGAAACTGAGGAGCAGAAAAGTCAAATAACTTGACCAAGATCACACAGCTCATAAGTGACAGAGCCAGGATTTGAGCCTTTGGCCCCATATTCTATGTTCTTAACTTCTCTACTTTTCCCTAATCTCCTATACACCTGTAACAGTAATTTTTCTTGTAGGCTATTTTACCCCTTAAAATGGGTTACCAGTAATGAGGCAAACTGTAGATAAAGCTGGATTAAAAACAGAATCTGGTTAGCAATATTGTATTTCAGTGGTTCCATTGGACTCTAAGTTATGTATGAAGGCTGAACTTGTGAAACTGTGTGAAGAAATAGTGTGATACTCAGATGAGCTTTGCTCTGAGCACCAAAGTATTATTTACAGCGGGGCAACATTGTCCCCATGCTTGTGCCCAAACTCCTACCTCTTTCTTAACCTGGTGGTGACATATCAGTGTTATCAGAAAAACAGAAAATAGAATTTACTTAACAGAATTTCAACTTAGAGCGACCTTAACTGGAAAGCAATTATTCCACTAAACGAAGGATATCTGTGTAGTGTTAATACATATCACTTTATATCTGAGAACTTTGAGAGTAGTGCTGCTTTTTAATAGCATGTTGTAACAGCAAAGTTCTAGAAACATGAGGCTTTTTTTCCCTCTAGAATAGGAAAGCTTTTTTTTTTTTATTTGAAACATATCACACTGAGATTATTTTATTTTATTTCTTTCCTTTTAAGTGTTAGACACCATCTTGACCAAGAAACTTGAACTCAATAATATGCCACTGTCTGTGTTCCCGTATTATACCTCTTTGGGCACAGCCTTGTATGGAAAGGAGAAGCCTCTGATCAAGCTTCCAGCCCCATTCCGAGAATCCGTGGATCTTCCCTTATGGAAGTTCTTCCAGAAAAAGAATCACCTGATTGAGGAGATAAATGATGAAGTGAAACGTTGTCACTGTGAGCTAACATGGTCCCCACTCAGTGGTGATGTTACCATCAGACCCGCGGCCACCTTAGCCAATCAAGGAAGACGAAGAATCAAGACCTGGCAGAAAGACGCTTCCACAGCATTCTCTGGTATCAGGTCTCAATATGAAGTTACTCTACTTAAGGTGGATCCAATAGTGTGGGACGTCATAAAAGAAGATTTAGAAGATGATAGGATTTTGATGGAGTTTGATACAACTATGGGGATTGTAACCTTAGTGGGGAAATCAGAGGATATACAAAACATTGAGCCACAAATCAAGGAATTAATAGAAAGTACCACTCAAAAAATTAAAAGAGAAGAGCAAAGTCTGAAGGAAAAAGTGGCCATTTCTCCAGGAAGGTATTCTCTTCTGTGCCACAGTGGTGTCCAAGAGCGTCTCTTCAAGGAGTGCCCAGAGATGGAGATTTCTTATGATAGAGCCACTCAACACTTGTGCTTGAAAGGACTCCGAGTAGATGTGTATAAAGTAAAGTGTGAACTCCAGGAAATGGTGTACACCATGGTTCAGAAAAACATTCAGTTTCCCCCTGAGGTTTTCCAGTTTTTGCAACAGGTAGACTGTGCAGAATTCTCTAAGTCTCTTTTTATAGCACAGAAAATTCTTGCAATTTATGAGCTAGAGGGCACAACTATTCTCTTAACCAGCTGTTCTTCTGATGTTCTGTTAGAAGCTGAAAAGCAAATGGTGAGCGCCTTACATTATAAGTGCATTGACGTTGAGGACAGGGAAGTTCTTAATGACAAGAAATGGAAAGGACTCACTAGTAGTTTGCATAAGACACATAATTCATTGTCAAAGACTGTAATAATCAACGAGTTAACTTCAGAAACCACGGCTGAGGTCATCATTGCAGGCTGTGTGAGACAAGTAAATGAAGTCCATCGCTTGCTTTTTAACTTCGTGGAAAAACACACGAAAATAGAGAGATTGATTGAAGTAAAGCCTTCCTTAGTTATTGATTATTTAAGGTCACAAAAGAAGTCAGTCTGGCAAAAGCTAAAGAGGGAAAATGTGCAGGTAATTTTCAATCATGAGCACAAACCAAAAGGGATTTTACTAACTGGCCCAAAGCCCGAAGTCCTCGAGGGAATGAAGACGGTCAAGGAAGCCCGGGATTCAGTCCGTGTTAAAAGCATCCGTATCGATATGCCGGGAGCCAGGCAGTTGTTCCAGGATAAGGCACAGTATTGTAAAAGTGAGGTCAAACGGTCATTTGGTTGTTTTCTTGAACTACAGAAGAATGAAGAGGAGGAGGGAGGCAGCACTGACGGGCGGAAGTGCTTCTGTCGCACAGACGTGGCCCCCGGGGTCTCGCTGATTGTGCAGCAGGGCGACCTGACACAGTTTCCTGTTGAAGTCGTGGTGAATGCAGCAAACGAGGACCTCAAGCTCAGTGGCGGCCTTGCTGCTGCTCTTTTAAAAGCAGCTGGCCCTGAGCTCCAAGCCGAATGTGACCAGATAGTGAAGCGAGAGGGCAAGATCCCCGTTGGCCATGCCACCATCTCGAAAGCAGGAAAGCTCCCCTACCGTCATGTGATCCACGCCGTGGGGCCCCGGTGGACTAGAGATGAGGCCCAGAGGTGTGTGGGCCAGCTAAAGAGAGTGGTGAAAGGAAGTCTCCTTTTGGCCGAAGACTACAAATGCCAATCCATAGCCATCCCTGCTATTAGTTCTGGAATCTTTGGCTTTCCCTTACTGCAGTGTGTGGAGACCATTGTTTTGGCTATCAAGGAATACTTCCAGGACACCTGGGATGGATACACCTTGAAAGAGGTTTACCTAGCTGATACGGCTGAGAAGACTGTCGAGGCCTTTGCCGAAACCGTGAAAACTATATTTAGAGACACCCTGCGTGGTACTGCTTCCCCACCCAGTGTACCAGCAGCGGTCCAGTCCAGCTTGAGACAAGATCACGGACACGGACAAATGCTGTTGTCCCCGAGAGGCCTGAGGATCCTGTTGGTGAAAGGAGATGTGCAGAATGCAACGGTGTGTGTCCCTCTGTACAGAACTCCACCGAGGTGCTGTGACTCCAGTTAGTCTGTTGACAAAGGAAGATTAGAATCAAGGGAGAGAGAGGGCCAGTCTGGTGGCGCCACAGTTAAGTTCGCATGTTCCGCTTTGGCGGCCCTGGGTTCGCCAGTTCGGATCCCGGGTGCGGACATGGCACTGCTTGGCAAGCCATGCTGTGGTTGGCATCCCACATATAAAGTAGAGGATGATGGGCATGGATGTGAGCTCAGGGCCAGTCTTCCTCAGCAAAAAGAGGAGGATTGGCAGCAGTTAGCTCAGGGCTAATCTTCCTCAAAAAAAAAAAAAAGAAAAATCAAGGGAGAGAATCCTATGCCCTCCATCCCTGCTTTGAAACAGGTTTCCTTGGAAACTTGGGCTACTTCAGCAAGAGGTTTACTGATACAGATTGGCCAGTTATTTGTGAGAACTGGAAGTGTATTCACATCACTAGGTTTCCAGTAAATGTGAAAATCCACAATGATACTTTCTATCTACAAGGCTCTCTATGCTTTTTCAGTGCCTTTACACCTGTCATATTTTGGAAACTCTAATGTCTCGGAACAGCCGCTCTGCAAGCCCCTGCTGTGCCAGGTGTTTCTTCTTTAATTGGGCAATTGTGGGCAGTCCTGGGGAAGGGACTTGAGGAAAGGTCATTTGCAAATCTCCTTTGGAGAAATGTCTATTCAGATCCTTTACCCTCTTTTAAATTGGGTTATCTTTATATTATTGATTTTAAGAGTTCTTTATATATTCGGGGCACAGACCCCTACCAGGTATGTGATTTGAAAATATCTTCTCCCATTCTGTGGGTCATCCTCCTTTTTGGCTCACGCTGTTACTTTTTAGAAAATATTTTTTTAGTTTAAAATACTGAAAGATTTTTAAAAATTAGATCTCTACTGACAGTAACTTTAAATAATAACTAAAAGAATAATAGCTAACAGTGATTATTTACCATGTGCCAGGCACTACGCTAAGTGCTTGGCGTGCATATTCTCATTCAGTGCCATGAGGTAAATTCCCGGAGTAGTATTATTCTCATTTCACAGATGAAGGAACGACACTTAGAGCGGTTAAATAATTTGCTCAAGTCCCACAGCTAATAAATGGTAGATCCAGGATTGGAATTTGTTCAGGCTCTTAACCATTGCACTATTTCAAAATATTAAAAATAATTTTGTTTCTCATTTTGAAAAAACCAAACAAATAAACAAGAAACTCTTTTGACCAAGAGTCAATAATCGCAATGAGTTCCGTTTCTCGTCCACCTTGAACACTGACCGGTGAGACATTCCTCCCGCTCCTTTCATTCCCGTCGATGTGTGCCTTCCTGCTACTTGTTATTCCTCAGTGACCCATCCAGGGCAGCTTTGAAAGCCCTTGGTCACATTCCCTCTGCTCTGTTCTCTCGGCATCTTAATCTAGCCTGATTAATCTGCCTATACTAACTCTCCTGCTGAAAAACTTCCACGGCTCCTCACTGTCGGGAAGTCCGGTTGGCTTGGCACTCAAAGGCCTCTGCAGTTATCCCCAGGGTAACATTTCTGGCCTGGCTTGCACCATTTTGCTGCAGAAGCTCTCTTATCAGGTCAAACTAATCTACTCACAGTTCACAACCTACCATTTTATGTTCATGCTGTTCCCCCTCCCGAATGACTTCCCTGGCACTCTCTGCCTGCTGCCACTCTTCCCCTTTCTCAGATGCCACATTGCCCATGGTGTCTTCACTAGGCCCTGAGGGTGCTTCCTCTGCATTCTTTCAGCAATCGCATGACACTTATACATTGCTTTTTGACAGCTCTCTTTTGTCCTGGAGTGTTATTTAAATAAGTTTCTAATAACAGTTTGTCCTGGGGTGGTATTTCAGTCTCTGAACACTAAATCATCTTAGTTGTCCCCCGTTGTGCCAAGCCCCGCAGCTCAGATATAGTAATCCTTGATTAATGCTTTTTGTTAGAATTTGAAACAAAGTGTTGGTTTTGTCTTTAAGACCGATGTTGTTGTCAACTCCATTTCCTCGGAACTTGAGCTTAATAGCGGGCCCCTTTCTCAGGCCCTCTTGAATAAAGCTGGGCCAAAGCTCCAGGAGGAATTGAACACAGCCGGACAAGGGATAGCCGTCAGCGTGGGCACGATTCTCCAAACCAGTGGTTGCAATCTGCATTGCCGCCGTGTGCTTCACGTGGTGGCTCCGGACTGGGCAAATGACAGCACCTCTTCATCCAAGGTTGGCCGGGTTGTAAATTCTCCAGGGAATTCGTAGCCCTTTGGACTCTCCTTTCACTATAATGTAGATTGGACCCTGTCTGTTTCTCTTCTGTAATAACGTCACCTTCTTGGCGGGTTTCATCATTCTGGCCTTTTCTTTCCCCTGTAGCTAGCTTCTCCTGAGGACCAGTTAATAATAAAAATTAATTCGAGTGCTCAAACATTATTGGGGCTCAGGGAAGAGTTATTGAAGACAACACGTCTTTAATGAAGAAGGTGAAGTGAGGGCATGGAGAACGGAAGAGAATGAAGGGTTAGAAGAGTCCTTGCTTTCCTTCTTTCCTTCATCGCTGAGTGAGTTTGAATTTTTTTGGAGGGTCTCTCACATTCTCCTTTTCTTTTCCTCGTCTACTCCTGTAGTTTTCTTTCTATTTCTGACTGCCCTTCACCTGCTTCTTGTAGAAAACAAAAAGGAGTAGACAGAGATCACAGTCAAAGTTGCTAAATTCTTGTTCTTTTTGTTTTAACTCCTATTTCTACGCAAAACCTATAAGGATGTGCTTTGCGCTTTTCAGATCATGCAAGACATAATCAGAGAATGTTTGGAAGTCACTGAGAGCTTGTCCTTGAAATCAATTGCATTTCCAGCAATAGGAACAGGAAATTTGGGATTTCCTAAACCTGTTTTTGCTAAATTAATCATTTCCGAAGTGTTCAAATTTCATAGCAAGAACCAACCGTCAACTTTACAAGAGGTTCACTTTCTGCTGCACCCGAATGATCTTGGAAATATTCAGGTACATTTCTGATTATTTTGGCAACTGAGCCCTAATGTTTTCAAATGTATTCTTGGTCTAATAGGTTGTTTCTTTCATATATTTCCCATCCAGGAAAGTTAAAAGCGTAGTTGTGTCATGGCAAATTGCAAGCAAATTTATGAATGTAGAAAAAAATTCAGCTTCTTATTAAGGAAAATTTCAATAGATGAAATAGTATAATGAGCTCCTTGTACCCATCGCTCATCTTCATAATTATCAACCAATAACCAATATGTTTCATCTCTATCTCTATTATTTACCTTCCTCCCGTATTATTTTGAAGCAAATCTCAGATATATACATTTTGCCCATAAACAATTCAGTATTTATTTTAGACATTAGGATTCTTTCTAAAAAGTAATATAAGCACAATACTATTTCACACACAAAAGAAATTGACAATCATTCCTTTGTTTTATCAATTATCAAGTCAATGCTCAAATTTCCAACAGTCTCATAAACGTGTAATTTTGTTTTTACAGCTAGTTTGTTTGAATCAGAATCCAAATAAGGCCCATACATTGCAATAGAGTTGACATATCCCTTAACTCTCTCTTAATCTAGATGATTCCCTTCCATATGAACATAGACATTTTGATACTTAATATAAAAGCACAGTTGTGGTCCTACAAATGGGAGAAAGTCAGGATGAGATAGAACTGAAGGGTGTGGTTAGAATGAAGTCAGCACATCCCCATGGGAGTAGGAGAATTGGGACCAGAAACACCAGAACCATCTTCGGTCATAGAGAGTTTATGAACCAGCTCACATTTGCTGAGCATCAGCTGTGAGTGAGCCACTGGACTCACTGGCAATATGGGAGAACAAGAGGCATTTAATAAGAGGCCGTTAGTCCTGTCTTCCAAGTCCCTAGAGTCCAGCAGAGTAGATGACAGTAAATGTTTGGATAGTTCCATGATAGTACAAGAATTAAACAGATTAAGGTCAGCAACTCAAGAGATGTCTACCGATCATTGGACCATCTGAATTTTTAGGTCATACTTAATTTTTTTCTGGATCTCAACACTACCTTTAAGTTTTTTGGAAGCAAACAAATCTAATTTAAATTCTAATCAGATGGCCAAACCACCCAGGCAGTCTATTTGGTTGGTGTGCATAACTCCAGGAATTTCTAGTAAATGAATACTTTTTGAACAACCTCCCTGTGACTTGCATTGTCCAAGGTGATGTGGATTATGGAATGGGTATGTAGCACATACCTTCCCTCCTATAGATCTTAATTACTTTGAGAGCTAAGATTTTTACACATAAAATGAACTAAGAGATGTGAAGTGCTGAGTGTTTTTGAATGAATGGCTGAGTGAAGAGGAGAGTGAGTGTGTGACAGGGACCTAAACCTTTGAATCTCACTAATTCTGTGTCACTCCAGCCCTCATTTTCTTTCCTAAAGACTCAGAGTACTCTGCAAGTATTCTGTAAAAGGATTAGTCTATACAGACACCTTTACTGTCACTGGAAATAGTATTGATGCCCCACACAAGGCTGTGACACTTTTTCTCTTAAGACTTTTAAAGACAGTTAAACTTTGGTTATAATTTCACAAAAATCAGCAAGACTTATTGAGATGTTTGTAGGTGGAGACTGTAACAGAGGTTGCATAACAGCAGCCTGTGGTCTGATCGTGGCCTCTAGATGGGCTTTATGTCAGGTATTTTTAAGAAATTTGAATCAGTTGCTAACGTTTAAGAATTTCACATAAAACTCCAGATATCCACTGTAACCTAAAAATTCAAAAGTTCTGGCACATGGGACATGAATTTCTGCCTGAACAGTTTGCTGTGGCTGAGTGACAGGTGCTCTCTAGTTCTCCAGAGTTAAACCAGTCCACCTTGACACGTGGCTCACCTGCCCGGCCTCCAGGGGTCTGTGAGCCTGCGGCCCTGGCTCTATGGTCTCTCCCAGGCCTCCTCCCGTTACTGTATCAGCCTTTTAGCCAAGATGTGACTTGTTTTTTTCCAACAAAATTCTCTGTTTGTTTATTTACAAGGAGGGAGAAAGTGATGATGTTGGGGTGTCACTACCAGGCGAAGAAAGGGAATTCACACGTTAATTAACCCTAGAATACATATACCAGCTCTTCCTCCAAAAAGCGCTTGTGCCCTAGACATTCCTCTCCTGGTCCCAATAAGAAGTTAAAAACTGAATTGTTTGGGTCCTTGTGATAGTTTTTCTAACACTGTATTTTTAACAATTAGCAAGTTATTTGCTCTTCCTGAATTATGGAAGTAATACATATTCATTGTAGAAACTTTGAACAATACAAAATGCATAAGTTCTTTTAGCTGTATTTCATTCCAGGATTCTTTGATGCATGCGTACTTTTAAAAGTGGGATTACATGATGTAATTTAATATCAGTCTTTTTTCATTTAATCGTATAAAATGAGCATTTCCCTTTTCTATTAACTATTCTTTGGAAATATGATTTTTAATGGCTGCTAAATATCCCAACACATGGGGATACTAACATTTATTTTGCCATTTCCCTATTGAATTTTTAAACTGTTTTATTTCTCCTTGATTGTAAATAGCACTGTGATGAATATTCTTGTGTTTATATCTTTGTTCACATCTTTGATAATTTTCATAGGAAATTATTTGTAGAAACAGAATTGCATTTGTAGAAACAGCATATATGTATTATTTTCATAACTTTAAAAATCTATAATGAAAATAAATAATATTTGGAGAACTGTTCTCTCCTAAAATTGTGTGCATGCAGGATCAAAAGCCCTGTTGAATCAAATTCCTTTATCTACTGCGGATTATAGTGGTCAAAACTGTCTTTGTATTTGCAGGCATTTGCAGATGAACTTGCCAGAATGGCTAATGGAAATTTCGTCAGTGAGCAACTTCCCAAGGCCAAAGATACGCAAGGTTCAGTAAAGCTTTTAAATCGCGAAATTATTTCTAGTTGCTAAATAACTATTCAGTCATAAGTGAAAGATGGTAGTGATGATTTTTATGGAAAAATCAATTCGTGATAAAGAAGATATTAAATTATATTCCATGCCCCTGAGCATGCAAGACACTGGCCATGTTTACGTGATCTGGAGCGAAAGAGTAGGCAGGCTGAGTCATGTAGTGTGTACAATTCGTTTTTAAGTTGTGATGAGGCTGCTATTTTCTAAGGATGTGTGTTTTCAGACATGACACATTTAAAGAGATAATACCAACCAAATGCTTCTCCTCTGTCAAATTTGCTGTTGCTGTGTTTGAGTTTATGCTGTTTGCTTGCTGAGGCTTCTTGAGTCCCAATATGTATGTCTTCCATCAGATTTGGGGATTTTTCAGTCATTGTCTAAATATTTTTTCTGCACTCGTCTCTCTCTCTCTTCTTCTAGTGCTCCTATAACGTGAATATTAAGCTTCTTGATAGTGTCCCACAGGTCCCTGAGGATCTATTCTTCTTTTTATTTTTTCTTTTCATCTTTTTTCTCTCTGTTCTTCAGATTGGGTAATTTTTAATGATCTACATCCAAGTTCCCTGACTCTTCTCTGTCTACTACTATTGAGCCTATCCAGTGAATTTTTTATTTCAGACATTGTATTATTTATTTATTTATTTATTTATTTATTTATTCTTTTGGTGAGGAAGATTGGCCCTAAGCTAATATCCACTGCCTATCTTCCTCTTTTTGCTTAAGGAAGATTGGCCCTGAGTTAACATCTGTGCCAGTCTTCCTCTATTTTGTATGTGAGACACTGCCACTGCATGGCTTGAAGAGTGGTGTATAGGTACATGCCCGGGATCCAAACCTGCAAAGCCGGGGCCACCAAAGTGGAGCGTGCGAACTTAACCACTACACCACCGAGCTGGCCCCCAGATATTGTATTTTTAAATTCTAAAATATCCATTTGATTCTTATTTTATAGTTTATTTTTTAATATTTATATATATATATTTTTATATTTCTCTGCAGAGAATATAAACTGTTTTTCCAGTTTTTCCGAACTGTTTTTCCATTTATTCCAAATCATTTCCATGCATTCAAATGTGTTTACTTTGACCTCCGGGAGCATAGGTATAGTAAATGCTTTAAAGTATTTGGTGATTCCAACATCTGGATTATTTAGAGATTAGCATTTAGATTGAGTGTCTTTATCCTTGAGAATTGGTCACATCTTTCTGGTTGTTTGTAGGACAAGCCATTATGGATTCTAGGCTGGGCATTTTGATTATTATATTGTGAGACTTGGGTCCTGTCAAAATCCTCTGGAAGATGGTGATCATTTGTTTCTTTGAGCAGGCAGTCAGTCAGGTGACCTTATTCTGAAGTTCTGTCTCACCTTCTGTGTGGGCAGCGGTTCCAGGGTCAGTTCAGTTCTGAAAGCCTTTGCTGCGCTGCTTCGTCTGCCCCCACGTGGGCAGCTCTGGGATGAGCTCGGCATTTATTCCAGCTCATACACAGAACGGGCTCACCTCTTCCAGCTCTCGCCTCTCTAGGGTTGCCCTGACACTCTGGCTGCAGGAGCCCGTTTTCCAGGTCCTCTGGCCAGAAAGACAGGGTTCTCTCGGAGTTAAGCTGCCTCATAATTTTGCATGATCAGGGTTGGCCTTGGGCAAAGTAGAGAGAGAAAAAATAAATAACAGGGATTCCCCTCCCCCCCACACACATATATACATTTTTCAGACTACCACAGTCCTTTTTCCTGATTCTTCTGGATAGAAATACAGAATCTGTCTCAGAGTTTTAGCTCCCAGTGGTGCCACTGTGGAGTTCTGCAACTGGAGTCGCCTTGGGGCAGGGCCTGGATCAAAAAAGAAAAAGTGTGGAAGATGATGAAGATTCGTCTCATACTCTTTAGCCCACAGGGACCCCTTTTCCCAGTCCTCTGGCCACAAGGACAGGGATGCGCTGAGAGTTTTGCTGCCTCTGCTCATTGAGCAGTTTTGCAACTAGAGCCACCCTTGGGTCAAAGCTGGGAGAGAAACGAGGGTAAATTTCAAAACAGAAGCAAATGGGAAACTCCCCCTGTACAGGTTGTTTCTTTTCTTTTTAAATTATTTTATTGAGGTCATATTGCTTCATAACATTGTGTGATTTCAGGTGTACATTATTATATTTCGGTTATAGACCGCATCGTGTTCACCACCAATAGTCTAGTTTTTATCCATCCCCATCCATACGTGCCCAGCTACCCCTTTGGCCCTATCCCTACCCTCTTCCCCTCTGGTAGCTACCAATCTGTTCGCCTTATCCATGTGTTTATCTTCCTCATATGAGTGAAATCATATGGTATTTGTCTTTCTCTATCTGTCTTATTTCGCTGAGCATAATACCCTCGAGGTCCATCTATGTTGTTACAAATGGCATGATTTTGTCTTTTTTTGTGGTTGAGTAGTATTCCACTGTATTTATCCATTCATTCCTTGATGGGCACTTGGGTTGCTTCCACGTCTTGGCCATTGTGCATAATGCTGCAGTGAACATTGGAGTGCATAAATCTTTTTGAATTATTGATTTCATGTTCTTTGGATAATACCCAGTAGTAGAATAGCTGGGTCATGTGGTATTTCTATTTTTAATTTTTTGAGAAATCTCCATACTGTTTTCTGTAGTGGCTGTATCCGTTTGCATTCTCACCAGCAGTGTTTGAGGTTGCTTCTTCACGTTGTGACTCCCTTCCCCAACCTGCCTGCCTTTGTTTAGTTTTCAGTTCTCAGTTCGTGGCTTCTTGTATTTGTCCTGTGTTTTCAGAGATAGGCTCTAGTGGGCTAACTTCACCTTGGCCAGCACCAGAAGTCCACGTTTGATATGTATTATATTTTATCATTCTTTTTCAGAAGAAGACCATCACTGGGGCTCAGGGTCAGGGTCAGGTTAAAAGCTACAGATCACAGAGAGAGCGGGGGAAGAAGTATGAGAGGGGCACATGTGAGGAGCATGAGACCTAAGTCATTCTTGCTGTTGCCAACTTGTTATTGACTCCAATTTTATTCTTTTCAGGTTTCTATGGGACTCTTTCTAGCCCTGCTTTAGGAGTGCATGAAATGAAGATTGGTCCCATCATCTTCCAGGTGGCCTCTGGAGATATCACTAAAGAAGAGGCAGACGTGATTGTAAATTCAACATCAAACACATTTAATCTCAAAGCAGGTACTTTACTTGAAGGATGTCTTTTTTTTCTTTGAGGAAGATTAGCCCTGAGCTAACATCCGTGCCCATCTTCCTCTACTTTATACATGGGACGCCTACCGCAGCATGGCTTTTGCCAAGTGGTGCCATATCTGCATCCGGGATCTGAACCAGCGAACCCCGGGCCACTGAAGTGGAACATGCGCACTTAACTGCTGCGCCACCGGGCCGGCCCACTTGTAGGATTTTGACCAGTGTAATAGTCACAGTAGATCCCATAAGGGATGGTTCCTACAGCTAAACTGGTTTCTACAACTTTGGTTTATTAATATTAATTAATAATTTTGAAATTATTTTGACATGGTTTCTCATAATTAGTAACAGTTATTTCATGTGAACTTTTCTTCTTTGTTATCAGAAATTCCTAGGTTATAGGATTCCTTTGATGATAGGGAAAGCGTTTGGATAATGAGGCAATCATTCTGATCCAAATGTACTATATTGATTTTTTAATTCATATTTGTAACCATCTTGATTTTCTCATGTAGGGGTCTCCAAAGCAATTTTAGAACATGCTGGACCAAGTGTGGAAATGGAATGTTCTCTCCAAGGTAAAGCACAATGCTATTTTTGGTCCTAAATTATAAGTGGAAGACTGAATATGGGAGGCTGTGGACAGGCTGGGGAAAGTGTTGCGATTGGGGAGACAGCATATTAATCTTAAAATCACACGTTTTACTGAAGAATTCCAATTGTAGAGAATTAGAAGCGAAAAGTAATCTCACAGTTCAAAAAAGAAGATAAGCCAGAAAGATTCATCCAAAATAGTATTTTTAAAGATTTTTTTATTTTTTCCTTTTTCTCCCCAAAGCCCCCCAGTACATAGTTGTATATTCTTCGTTGTGGGTCCTTCTAGTTGTGGCATGTGGGACGCTGCCTCAGCGTGGTTTGATGAGCAGTGCCATGTCCGCGCCCAGGATCCGAACCAACGAAACACTGGGCCGCCTGCAGCGGAGCGCGCGAACTTAACCACTAGGCCACGGGGCCAGCCCCTCATCCAAAATAGTATTTCAGGAGTCTCTTATTCACATAAAATGCTTTGCCAAATGAGACATTTTGCTTTCTAAACAATCAAAGAGTGGGCTCAGCATCTGCTTTTGCATCTTTTTGTCTTGTGTTTCCCAGCTCAACAGGGCAAAAGTGATTATATAATTACTGAAGGTGGATCATTGAGGTGCAAGAATATTATTCATGTCGTTGGTGGAAATGATGTCAAGACATCGGTTTCCTGTGTTTTACAAGAGTGTGAAAATCGGAATTACTCGTCCATTTGCCTCCCAGCCATTGGAACAGGTTTGTAGCCTCTGGAAGTCTAAATCCCAAGGCGTCCACTTTCTCTGAGGTTTGGTGCTGACTGTTAATATAGTTAGTGCTGCATCTGAGTCAGAGCAGCCTCCTCACCCGAGGCAGCCCCTGCGGGAATGGGCAAGGCTCGTGGGTGGTTTAAGTAAAAGAGGAAGAAATGAGGAAAACTGAAGAGTGTGTGAGAATATTAGAGAGACTTTTGCTCTCTAATATGGAAGAGAAGGGAGAGGGAGGGGAAGAGAAAGAAAGCCTATCTCTCCTTCTCTTTCATCAGTTGCTGCCTCTTTTTCCCATCCCCTACGTTTCCCATTCTTTAGTCTTGAACCTCCTCCTCTATCCCGTCTCCATGGAGAACATCTGTGCATCGACTTCCACCTCCCTGTACCCGACTCCCAGATGAGCATTTCCTGCCCTCTCTTCTCACTTCTCAACAGTGGCTGTGTAGGTTTGGCCTTAGGACATCTCTGCGTAGAAGCTGCTCAGTCACCAGAACCGAATGGGTTCTAATGGGTCAGAAACTCAACTCTCCACCTTCCTCTTTTCAAGCCTACTTGCCTCTTTTGAGTTACTTGCTTTCTTCAAACTATATAATGATTTTGTGATTCTTCATATAGAAAGTTGGTGCTTTGGGTTTATCATTAGTAAGGTGATGCTCCGCGAGCTCTTTTCCCAGGAATCTGAGTCATGTGCCTTGATTAGGAATTCCTGCTTGGTCTCCCTTAAGAGAGCTGGTCAAGGGAGGCAACACTCTCGGGCTTGAAGTTGAATGGAGCAGACTGGTCCCAGAGGGAGAATACTCAGTACTGGATTGACCATTCCGTTGCTCAGGAATATGAATCTGAGTGTCTCACAGTGGCATTCTAGGCCCTCCAAAAGTTTAGCCTCAATAAACTTAACCACCCTTGTCACTTTCTGGGCCTTCTTCTAATCCTCTATCCCATATTTTGATTTCTGTAATTCTCTACCATTCCTCTTAATATTCTCACATGGAATGCTGTCTATTACTTTTCTATTTCTAAATAATTTATAGTCTCTTTATGTTTTAATCCCCCTTGTAATATCATCCAATCCTAGCAGATTAGCCAACCTGTTACTTGACTGTCTGTCTGTCTATCTATCATCTTTTATGGACACCCACTTAATGACTCCCCAGTCTCTGTCTCTATCTGCTTCTTCCTCTAAGCTCTGGTCTTGTGTTTCTACCTTAACTTGATTTGGGCCAAGAAAACAGGCAGCCCAGGGGTGGCACAGACCTTCCCAAGGGAGCCCCTGAGTGGAGTCAAAGAAGAAACAAGGAGAGGAGGCAGTTTTAGTTTTCTATAAATATATACCCATGTTTAAGTATTTCTGGGTTATTGCAAACCTGCTGTTTCCTCCATTGACCGGTTCCATTGCTGGTCTGCTCAAATAAGTCAAGGTTAGCAGATTCTCCTTGTTTGTCTTCCTTACCTGTCTTAGCACCACCTGAGCTGCTCCTTAGACTAATGGATGGGGGAGTTTTCTCCCTTAGTGGTGTTTATGAGTTGAACTGGGACTGTGATCAGGAGGCTTTGGGCAGTAAAGGAAGCCCTCTCCCCATTCCTTACAGACGTCTGCGTAAGGGGAGAGAAGGTGGTCAGCGAAACCTGCGAGCACCTCAAGCTCAATGCAAACTCCAAACTCCAATTCCTTGTCTTCTCCCCCAAACCAGCCCTTCGTCCTACATCACTGATCATGTTAAATGCATCATTTTCTATCTAGAATCCTTGCCTCTACCTTCTTTATCGCTCCCATGTTCATTAGCTTATTAATTTGTTTGATTAAATATTTACTGAGTGCCTGCCACGTGCCAGGCTCGGTGCCTAGGCACTAAGGATAGAAGGATGACTAAGGAAAGGGTCCAGTCCACAAGGAGCACCCAGCCTACTGTGAGAGACAGACATGTAAGCAGCTTCAATACAGGGTGACCCATGATATACACATGAAGGGGTGAGGGCGGCAGAAGATGGGGGACAAAGGGTCAAGGTTAAACCCAGGTGGTCACTAGGTCCTGCTGACTTTCCTTCCTAAATATTTCCCCAGTCCCTATAGCCAACTTTTCATTCTGGCCTCCTCTCTTTCTTCAGCTCTTGTCTTTTGCTTAAACTTTTATTACAGTCTCCTATCTAGACCTGGGCTCCCCACTCCAGTGCCTTCTCCACTCCCCTCCTCCCCCGCCAGATTTATCTTTCTCAAAAACAGATCTATTCCCCTGAACACCCCAAGGTGAACATCTCACACCCCTGTTACACAGTTCTATCTGGTTTAGCTTTTCCCTCAGTTTTCCACACTCTACCTACTGAACACTTGGTCATCCCCACATATCACATCCTCTGTGTCCTGAGTGCCTAGATTAGCATCTAGCCTATGATGGGACACAGTAAATGTTTATTGAGAGTGAATGAATGTATCTGAACACTCCTGTTTAAATCCTTCCAAATGTGAAAAGATAACCAGAGCTTTGCAAAGAATTTCTCTCTTTCCCTGATCATCTAATCAAACAAACCCTCTTGGTTAGTTTTATATGGGGTTTGTCTACATTCCCACAATTGTCTACAGAGTCAAGTTAAAGAGGTCTACTATCATTTCTGCAGTAATGGTAGGCCCTTCATCTATCACACTGGGTTGGCCAGGGGACTTTTACTTTGCCCCCCCACCCCAAGTGACTTTTCCCGCTGCCATTCACATGGGAATGTTTGCATGAATTTTCATGATCTGACCTAGGCAGTAGGCTTAAGAAACAAGATATGGAGCATGCTGAAGATAGGAAAAGACCTACTTAGGTGGCAACCTTGAACATCTGCAAGTCAGCTAACATCTCACTGAGTGTGAGGGGAAAGGCTTCCTGGAGGCTCATGGACAACTTCTGTGCAAAGAACGAGAGATTATAACAAATGGCTGATAGCTCCAGGTGTCTTGCAAAATTAGCTTAGTTTAAATCATGTCCCCAAAGACATCTGGGAGAACAAGGACATATGCATAAAGTCAAGTGATGTCTGAGGAAAAAAAATGTTGTTCTCTTTAAAGAGCATGATGTTTCAACATATATTAGTGGGTTTTTTTCTTTTTATGGGTCTTTTGAGGATGCTAATGAGCCAAGAAATGTTAACTGTGCTCTGTAAGAGAGGATCACAGTAAGCTTGGATCAGATGGTAGAGCAGATATGAACAGAGTCAGACACTAAAAGTTAGGTTTCTGGGTCCTTTGTTCATTGCTGGGCTGTTGGCTTCCTGACATCCTGGAACAAAAATGCCCCACTGAACCTAGGACTTCAAAAGTGTTTGCTGATGCATTGTTATTAAGAGTTGGGGAGTGGGCATTTATTCTGTGAGAATTGGAAATCCTAATTTATTCCTCAGATTTTTCCAGTTGTTCTTTTTTTTTCCCTGTCATTTTTATTATTTGCCTTTCCAGGAAGTGCCAAACAAGACCCTGATAAAGTTGCCGGAGCCATAATTGATGCCATTGAAGACTTTATCCAGAAAGGAGCAGTCCAGTCTGTGAAAAAAGTTAAAGTTGTTATCTTTCTGCCTAAACTACTGGATGTGTTTTATGACAATATGAAAAAAAGAGTAGGATCTCAGGCTTCTGTCAAACAATCTATGATATCTAAACTTGCATGTGAGTTATTCATTTTTATGAAATGTATGTTCCTAATATTGATGTTACATGAGAAATGGCTAATCTTTAATGAACTATCAGAAAGAGACATTAAGAAAACAATCCCATTTACTATTACATCAAAAAGAATAAAATACCTAGGAATAAATATAACCAAGAAGGTGAAAGACCTGTACAATGAAAAACTACAAGACATTGATGAAAGAAACCGAAGAAGACACAAATAAATGGAAACATATTCTATGGGTTGGAAGAATTAATATTGTTAAAATTCCCATACTACCTAAAGCAGTCTACAGACTCAATGCAATCCCTATCAAAATTCCAATGGCATTTTTCACAGAAATAGAAGAAACAATCCTAAAATTTGTATGGAACCTCCAAAGACCCCAAATAGCCAAAGCAATCTTGAGAAAGAAGAACAAAGCTGGAGGCCTCACACTTCCTGATTCCAAAGTATGTTACAAAGCTATAGTAATCAAAACAGTATCATATTGAAATAAAAACAGACACATAGATCAATGGAACAGAATAGAGAGCCCAGAAATAAACCCACACATACAAGGTTAATTAATTTACAACAAAGGAGTCAAGAATATACAATGGGGAAAGGATAGTCTCTTCAGTAGTGTTGGGTGCTCACTTTGGCAGCACATCTACTAAATAAATAGTGTTGGGAAAATTGGAGAGCCACATGCAAAAGAATGAAACTGGACTACTACCTTACACCATATACAAAAATCCACTCTAAATGGATCAAAGACTTGGCTGTAAGACCCTGAAACCCTAAAACTCCTGGAAGAAAACATAGGGGGTAAGCTCCTCAACATAGGTCCTGGCAATGATTTTTTTGAATCTGACACCAAAAGCAAAGGCAACAAAAGCAAAAATAAACAACGGAGACCCCATCAAACTAAAATGCTTCTATACAGCAAAGGAAACCCTCAACAAAATGAAAAGGCAACCTATGGAATGGGAGAAAATATTTGCAAATCGTATATCTGATAAGGGCTTAATATCCAAAATATATAAAGAACTCATTACAACTCAATAGCAAAGAAAACCCCAATGTGATTAAAAAGTGGGCAGAGGATCTGAATAGGCATTTCTCCAAGGAAGACATAAAAATGGCCAAAAGGTATATGAAAACATGCTCTACGTCACTAGTCATCAGGGAACTGCAAATCAGAACCATATTGGGATATCACTTTACCTGACAGAATGGTTATTATCAAAAAGTCAAGAGATAGCAAGTGTTGGTGAGGATGTGGAAAAAAGGGAACCCTGTGCATTGTTGGTAGGAATGTAAGTTGGTGTAGCCACTATGAAAAACAATATGGAGGTTCATCAAAAAATTAAAAATAGGGGCTGGCCCCATGGCATAGTGGTTGACTTTGGTGTGCTCTGCTTCGGCAGCCCAGGTTGGTGGGTTCAGATCCCAGGCACAGACCTACACCACTTGTCAGCTATGCTGTGGTGGTGACCCACATACAAGATAGAGGGAGACTGGTACAAATGTTAGCTCAGGGCTAATCTTCCTCAAGCAAAAAAAAAAAGAGGAAGATTGGCAACAGATGTTAGCTCAGGGTGAATCTTCCTCAGTCAAAAACCAAAAAATTAAAAATAGAACTACCATATGATCCAGCAATTCCACTTGTGGTTATTTATCTGAAGGAAACAAAATCACTATCTCAAAAAGGTATCTGCACTCCATGTTCACTGCAGCATTATTTACAATGGCCAAGAGACAGAAACAACCTCAGTGTCCATTGACGAATGGATAAAGAAAATGTGGTGTGTGTGTATATATATATATATATATATATATATATAAGACACACACACATACACCCCCCACAATGGAATATTATTCAGCCATAAAAAGGAATGAAATATTGACATTTGCAACAATATAGATGGACCCTGAGGGCATTATGCTAAGTGAAATAAGTCAGACAGAGAAAGATGAATACTGTATGATATCACTTATATGTGGAATCTGAAAAAAAAGAACAAAAACAGGACTCATAGCTACAGAGAGCAGATTAGTGGTAGCCAGAGGCAGGGGTGGTGGGAGGTGGTCAAAATGGGTAAAGGTGGTCAAAAGGTACAAACTTCCAGTTATAAGGTAAATAGGTCTGCGGGATATAATGTAGACTATGGCGATAACAACCAAAACGAAACAGCTAATCTTCCTTTTTTTTCCTTTTTAGCATATTTTGGCTTATCAAGGCAATCTCCCAAAAAACAGAAACCTTTGGTTTTGGAAAAGAAAACAGAATCAGCCATCTTTCAGGTGTGTGGTGAAAATGTAAAATGTGTGGCAGACGCCCTCTCCTGGATACAGAATCTGATTGAAAAGGACCAGTGGAGTTACACCAGTGAAGATGAATGTATCAAAGACTTTTACGAAAAGGAATATGGGAAATTGAAGGAGCTGCAGGAGAAATTAGATATTTCCATTTCCGTGGACAATAAAAGACCTTTGATTGAGGTTTTTGGAATTACCAGAGATGTGATGAAGGCTAGAGATGTAATTGAGGAAATGATGAAGAGAGTTAGGTCAGACAAAGAACAGGAATCCCGGGCAGATGCTGTCAGTGAATTTATAGAATGGCAATATAGTGATAATACCACTTCCCATAGTTTTGACAAAATAACCAATCTGAAATTGGAGGAGGCAAGAAAAGCAAAGAGAAGGACAGTTAGTGTCAAAATTAATTCTCAGCGCTACACAGTCGACTTGAACACAAACACTGCTACAGATGCAAATGGATACCAATTATCTGTTCAGCGCCTTATAAAACCAGAAGGTGAGTCAAACTTTTATACTTGAATCCATTATTTTACACCTACTTTGTATTTTGTACATACATCAAAATTGTATTCAAGTAGATAAAATTCAAGTAAGTGTTATGGAATAAAATAGAAAATGTGGTCTCTGAGCTTAAGGGGCTTACATCATGGCCAGGAAAATATAGTATGGGTGCACCCAACAGCCTGAGGAGGACCATCTTAATGGTGGCAATAGCCAAACCTTACATTTGTTCCCATCTCTACAGTTTACAAGCTTCCCAGAGCCAATTCTGCTGGGGAGCTATTGGCTTCTTCAGTCAGGAGAGGGAAAGCCATGGGCTTTAAAGGAAAGTGGCCCAAGGTTTTCTAGAACCAAAGGGAGAAGACAACCTGGTCAGAAAGTGGGCACTCTCTGTGTCTGTGACTGATAACCCAGAGAGGATCAGGAACCTGTAGGATCTTCTCCCAGAAGTCACTTCCTCCTTTACCCTGAACATAAGGTTCCTTGACACATGCATCAGGAAGCAGCCTTCAGATTCTCTGGCTGGATCTACTCCCCAAGATGGGAAATCTTGTCTTGTGAAGACAGCCACTCCCGCCTTCGAACCACATAAGTCCCCCACTGAGAACTAGTAAATTGGCTTCTAGTACATTATCTTCATCTCTTGTGAAATCGGTGCGAATGAAGTCAGACTCTGAGCAACCCTGGGGAAATGACAAATCTAGTATCCTAATGTTTAGCAGAAGGGGAGAAAGAGCTGCTCCCAGAATGTGCCACATAGCAAAACCTGCTGCCCACCCAACTCTTACGGACACTGAAGAATAATGAAAGAATAGATGTGGAGGGCTATGTGGTGGTGGAGAATTCTGGCAAAATCCCATGCACTTGCAAACAAGACAATAGTGACTATTTATTTAAAACATTGTAGGAAAGTAATTTATTGTTAAATTACTAAATTATAACAGACTAGAGACTGAACAGAATATGCAGCTGAGTTATACGACACCAACAGTTCTCAAATCTGAGCATGATCAAAACTGGTTAAGGTGCAGCTGCATGGGTTCCATCCCTCAGAGATTCTGGTTTGACAGATCTGTTGTTGTTGTTGCTCTTGTTTTTAATAAGCTTTATGGTTGGTTCTGATGTAGGTTGTCCGTGGTCCATGCTTTGAAAAGCTTTCTTCTAGAAAGTTAAGGAACTTCTTGAATACATTGAATTAGGAGATTGTAAAACAAGAACACAAATGATAGTCAGTTTTTCAAAGCATACCAGAAATGTGGACTATGTAGATGAGCCTTCCCAGGTGTGAGGGAGTCCTCAAATGTCTACTTTGCAGCTGAGCTCCCTCCACACTGGAGTGATATGAAGCAGCAGAATGTCTGTGTGGTTGAGCTGCAGCCTGGTCATCCAGAATACACCACTGTGGCAAGCAAGTTTAATCAGACCTGCTCAAACTTCACCATAGAGAAGGTAAGCCTTCTGCTGACATGGAGTTTCTTAATGGTGAAAATAAGGGGTATCATGGTCCTGGAAAAATACATTTTCATTCACTTCCTATCACATGGTTTTACCCAGAATTAGAATATTTTATGGTAATTAGATTTTAGATTCTAGATTCTACTCATGTCACCATAATTAGAGACATTGAAATTCTTGTGTCAGTTACTACACTATCTTAGATTGTAATATGATATTAGAGTACCGAAGACACATATTTACTTTGTGATGCAAGCTAACAAAAATTCAAAGATATGGCTTCAGAGTTCCATTTGATAACTAGCAAACCACCACCACAGGCACGTGGAGGCTCCTCTGATGAGGATTCTGGGCTTCTGCCTTGCCATTCGCAGATCAACAGTGCTTCCTCCTTGATAAATACAATGGTCCTTTCCTTGTTCATCTCACTTATTTTGGCATCTTACACTTTTAAATGTTAATATGCTCTTTGAAATTATGTTTTCCCTTGATTTCTATGACGATATTATTTTGATGCTTTCTTCTCCTTCTTTAACTAATTTTCCTTTCAGTATCACTGGTATCTGTTTCTCTTTCAAACCTCTAGTCTTAGCTTTACCCACAGGACTTAAACGTTGGTCTTCTGTCTCGGCACTACACCAGGTGAGAGTTTTACCCTTCTTGGCTTCATCTATTATCTCAATGTTGATAGCCCCCAAATCAGCATCACCAAGTTGGATCCTTGACTCCAGCTCTGGAACATACTCCCAGTGGCCTAAAAAATTTCCACTGAATATCTTTCTGCTAAATCAATTTCCCTAAAACCTAACTCATCATCTCTAAGTAATTATCTTTCCCCTTCCTTCCCCATTTCTGTCCTTGGTTCTATCACTTTCTGAATAAAGCCAGAGATCTTTGAGTATGTTCCCTTGATCCAGAATAACGAGCCTGCCAATAAAGGCTCCATTTTCTTTTTTTGCAAATTTTCTCTTACGCTCTATTTGCACTGCCACCGTTCTGTTTATTTATGTTGTTAACCACATAATAATTCAAAAAAGATTTGAAGTGTCCTACAAAGATATATACCATACCTTCAATAATATCCAATATAGAGTCCATATTCAAATTTCTCTAACTGCTCAAAACAGCTTTCTTATAACTCTCCCCAATCTGGGTTGTTACAGTGCATTTGGTCATGTCTCCATCATCTCTTCTGATCTAGAATGGTACTTCTGCATTTTAAAAAATAATTTTTCATGATACTGAATTTTTAAAAATTTTTGAAGTGTTCAAGCCTGCTGTGTTATAGAATGTCTCACATTCTGGCTCTTTCTTGCCTTAATTTTTTTTGTTGAAGGACCCAAGCCAGTTTTCTTATAGATTCTAGATTTGTCTGATTCCTCATGGTGTCATTTAATTTATTTCTCTATCCTCTTTATTTCTGGTAAGTTGGGAGTTAGGTTGAAAGGGCTTGGGTAAATTCAGATAAATATTCTTTGCAAGAATATTTCATAGGTGATACATCACATCAGAAGCCTCATGGGATAAGCCTGTCCCACTATTAATGATGCGAAGTTTGGTCACTAGTTAGGGTGGTGACCACCATCTCTCTCCACTGGAATCAGTAGGTAATCTGTGGGATGATATTTTGTCACTTTTCCTCAACAACCTTTTACCAACTGACTTTAACATCATTCATTGATGACCCTTTCCCAAATTCATTATTACATTGGAGGTTGCAAATGGTGATTTTCTAATCCTGTCATTCCTTCTACATTTATTATCTGTCATTTTTGTAAAGAAGAAATTTTCTTCCCTTTTGCTTTTTAAAAAATTCAGTAAGTTATATTTACAATGATTATTCTTTTAGAGGCACAAATTATCCTACATTTAGCTAGTAGGGACCCTCTGAAGTTGGCTCTCATGTCCTTTTGATGACCCCATTGATCTTGGAACATTCTCTACTTTCTGGCACAAGATCTCTTCAGCTCACCTTGTACTTTCCCTGTCTGAGCCCTGGAATCAGACTTTTCTCTAAGAAGCCCTGATTCCTTTTAGTTGGGAATGGTAGTGAGAAACCAAGATCTGTGTGCTGGGTGCTCACTGCTCCTGAGGTGTTATTGCTCCCAGGCTCTTTCATGGCTAGAGCTAAGAAAATCATGAGTTCATATTGATGTTTTCAATGAAAATGTAATATCGTAGATTTTTTCTTAATTTCTTATATTTTATACTTATGTCTCTTTTCCTATACAATAGGAATTTTGGTTCCTAATCATATTATATATTTACTTATTTGTCTTATTTATCTTACAGTATATGTAAAATTGTTTCAAAATTATGATACCAAAATTAATATTAGCAATATTAAAATAGCTACACTAGATTTATTTTGATTATTGTTAGCATGCTGTATTTTTTCTACCCTTTTTCTTTTAACCTCCTTATAACTGTATATTTAAGATGTCTTTTGGTAGCAGCATATACCTGAGTTTTTTCTGCATCTAGTCTAAAAATCTTTATCTTTTAATTGGACTACTTAGTCTGTTTAATGTATTTGCTGTACTGGTTTAAATATACCATATTAATCTTTGTTTTCTATTTATCATATCTAGTCTTTGCTCCTTTTTCTCTCTTTTCCTACCTTCTTTTGGATTAAGTATTTTTATTCCATTTTCATCTCCTTTTAGATTGTTGATTATACCTTCTATTACAGTTCTTTCCTTGGTTACCTGGAGATTAAGGTGTGCATCTGTGATTTATTAAACTCTAATGCATATTAGTATATTTATCATTTCCCAGACAATACAATGAACTTTGGACACTAACCCCATTTATCTCCCTCTTGCCTTTTGTACTAACTTTAACATGTATTTTAATTCTATGTATATATGAAACCCTATAAAACACTTTCATTTTTTTATACAGCCAGTATTTATTTATATTTACCAACATATTTACCCTTCCATCCCACTGCTCTTCAGTCCTTCATGTATTTCCATGCCTCTATCTGAGATCATTTTTCCTCTGGCTTTCTTCTCGTATAGATCTGGCAGTGATGAATTCTTTCAGTTTTTGTTGGTCTGAAAAATGTCTTTTTTCCTTCATTCTTTGAGGGATATTTTTGTTGGGTACAGAATTCTGGATTGGCAGTTATTTTCTTTCAGTGCTTTGAAGAAGTTATTCTACTGTCTCTGACTTTGCTTCTCTCTGTACTTCCTTACTCTCTGGGAACTTAGCCCATCAAATCCTTGTTGCCTTCAAATAAACCTTTCCCCCACAGCTCTTCTAGTAGTTGTTGGCAAGAGGACTGGTCTGATACAAGTAGTAGTCTACCATAGCCAGAAGTCTGCTGTGAAAAGAAACCTACTAAGTAAATTTAAGATTTTATTTGCAGTGGTTTTTTTTTTTTTACCTTAGGATTTATCCCACTAGGAATATAGAATCAGACTACTGTGTTCAAAATTACTTGAAATAATTCCTTTCTTTGTGTATTTATTAAATTTTAAAAGGGTGAGTGCTTGCTTCAGGAGCACATACCTCAGAGATATTAGGGGTTCGGTTCCAGACCACTGCAATGAAGCTAATATTGCAATAAAGTGAGTCACATGAATTTTTTGGTTTCCCAGTGCAATATAAAAACTACATTCACACTATACTGTAATCTGTTAAGTGTGCAATAGCATTGTGTCTTTAAAAACATGTACATACTTTAATTAAAAAATACTTTATTGCTAAGAAGCACTAACGATCATCTGAGCCTTCAGCGAGTTGTAATCTTTTTGCTGGTGGAGGGTCTTGTAAAAAAATGCGTTATCTGCAAAGCACAATAAAGTGAAGTGCAATAAAACAAGGTTTACCTCTATACTAAAAAAGGGTGAGAAACAAGAATGAAAAGACTAAAATTAAGAAGGGTTTCAAAACTCTGTAAGAAGAAATTTGTAAGGCTTTTAAAAAATGAGTCAAATAAATAAAATTTAAGGTAAATAGAAACAAAATGGAAGTAGGCAGTTTGAAGATTAGAAACTTGGTTGTGGGGAAAAGGAAAAATAAGTTTTAGAATCTTAAACAGATCAACAAAACACATGACAATGCTGAGACTCTGAACTAGAGAGCAAACTGTATCTTAACTAAAAATAGGAAATGCAAAACTGAAAAAAAAAGATCCAGATGAAGGTAGGTAATAGTGTTCAACTCGCGAGTTCTCTAGGATGGACAAAGATTCTGACAAAATGGAATCTTCACCTTGTGCCTTTCCATGAGAGGCCTAGCCCCCCTCACACCTCACTTTTTCCCAGGACAACCTTATGAAACTGCCACTACCTGGGGATTAGGGGAGTTTAGAAACTCATCTGCAATCCAGGACCCAATGAGTGTCCACCACAGCCCTGGAGGCCACTGTCCAAAGAGTATGGTCAGAGCATGGCCACTTTGGTCTGCAACCAGAAGCCCCCGCCCCGGGATTCATGCCCGACTCTTCCAACTAGATTAGGGATTAATTTTCATTAATTAATTTCCTTCCTGACTAGACACTCTACTGCTTCTCCCACTGGTAGAACATGGCTAGGTAAACCAGTCCCCCAGAAGGACTGAAGTGGGAGAGGCAAAGTGACAAAGTCAGGTGGACAGCAACGGGAGTTGTTAGAGTGAAGGTGACCAGCGGGAGTTGGAGAGGCTTGGTTGGCCAAGTCCACATAATGAGGACTTAAGATCCTAAACACTGTTTGCTGTCATGTGGTGCATAAAAGATGTTAAAAATTAAATTAACATTCTTCCCAAGGCCTATTTTTGTGGAACACTGGATCTAAAAAGATTTCTGAATGCACAAAGCTGCCGTCTGGCATTGAATTTGCTGTTTATTTTAATTTTTACTTGTAAAACATAGTGGTCATGTTTCATTGGTTGTATCTTGCCAAGGGCTCTTGTCACTGACAGAATATTTTTCTTTATGGATTTGCAGATTGAGAGGATCCAGAATCTAGATCTCTGGAATAGCTACCAGGCAAAGAAAAAAACCATGGATGCCAAGAATGTCTCTGTAACAAATGAGCAGCAGCTCTTCCACGGGACAGATGCTGGCTCAGTGCCACATGTTAACCAAAATGGCTTTAACCGCAGTTACGCTGGAAAGAATGGTAAGGAAGCAAGTAATCTGGCTGCTCCAAACGAGGTGTCAGCCATGAGAACCCGGACTGGCTAGGGACAGTGTGGATTGCATTTTGTTCCTTTATGATTAGTGGGCCATGTTGCAGCCAGAGTTTCGGGTTGGACTCTGTATGTTTCATCCCAAAGGGACTGACTGGCCCTCTGGGATGGAGGAATGATTTTTTTCATTGAAAACACAAAGAAAAATTTTCTAAGAAGCTTTAGAGAGAAGGACTGAACATTAATTTACCATTATTTGGTATATTGGGTCAACATATCAAATTATAGACTAAATGAAAATTCTTAAAATTTTTTTTTCTCTCTCTTCACAGCTACGGCATATGGAAAGGGAACCTATTTTGCTGTCAATGCCAATTATTCTGCCCATAATACATACTCCAGACCAGACAGTAATGGGAAAAAACATATGTATTATGTGCGAGTACTTACTGGAGTCTACACGTGTGGATATCAGGGATTAATTGTGCCTCCTCCAAAAAACGCTCAAAATCCTACTGACCTCTATGACACAGTCACAGATAACATGCAGAATCCAAGTTTATTTGTCGTATTTTATGACTATCAGGCTTACCCCGAGTACCTCATTACTTTTAGACAGTAACATTTTTGGTATCCCTCACAGGAGACGTTATTCATCTACACATATCTAGTTGTAAAACAAGTTTTAGATTTTTTATTTTTCTCTTAACAGCTTTTCCTAAGATCAAAGGATCCTTGTCACTGAAGTCATACTTTCTTCAGCTTCCATTTCATAACTGGAAAGAAGCTATCTTGAGAGCAATAAATTTGAGAATTTAAATCAGATAACTTGGTCCCAACTGTGGACATCACACTGTAGAACAGGCTTGTATTCTCAGGAAGGAGAGAATAACATTAGTCTTAAAAGCAGAGGGCACAGCCATGCAATTTTAGCTGCTGCTGAAGGAGACAGCTGGTATCCCGCCAGGACGCCATATTGCTGTGGGGAGCACAGTATTCCTAAGTGGGTGGGACTGCTTTCTTCCCTGAGGGCAGGGATGGTGTCTTACTCATTTTTTTTTATCCGTGGGCTGAGGTCCATGCCTGATGTACACTACTAGATGCTCCATAAATGTTTCATAAATCAATTAAGAATGAAAAAGCCTAGTTGGACTCCTACCCAAAGTAGGAACCATCTCTTCAACACCCTTGACTTGTCACTTTGCCTCAAATTGAGCAGATTCCTTGACAGGGGACTTTGGTTACAAGAACCAGCCCATAACACATGGGACAGCTCCATTCTGGGCTCTGGCTTTGCAGTGCAGCTGCACCCGCCCAGTCCTGGGGCTGTGGTCTAGCTTGTGGTCCAGGGGAATTGTGTCCCATGGAGTTGTGCAGCCCGTAGTCCTGGCTCCATTGGTCCTTTTTATGTTGAACCCAAATCTGCCTTCTTCTAACTTCTACTCAGTGGTCTTAGTTTTGCCCAGTGAAAACAGTGAGATAAAGCCTGCTACATCTTCAATATGAAATCCTCTACTATGTTAAGATTAAATGAATTGTAAGGTTTTTAAATAGCGTATTTTCCTTGGCAGCCTAGCTTTTGATACTTTTAAAGCCTTGTGCATAAATAAACCAAAGGAATTAAGCATATTGCTAATTTGCTAACTCGTATCTAATGGATGGTAAAGAAAAGTTTTTTTAACTTTTCCAGGCGAATTTCAGGTTCAAACACTGTTTATTGAGTATCTAGATTGTACCACGTAGTCTAATAGCTGCTTTCACAGACAGTATTTATTATATTCTCCCAAACCATCTTGTGAGGTAAGACTTATATCCCCATTTTAAAGCTGAGGACTGATGCTAAGAGTGCAAGAAGCTTCCTTGCCTGGGGTCACCTAGGTAACAGCTTCAGAGCCAGGAACTGCATCTTGGTCTCTGTGTCATCAAGCCCTTTGCTCTTCCTGCTTCAGAAGATGGCCTCTAGAGTAACATTACTGATTCAGGAACATCTCAGACAATCTGTGAATTACTCTCATATTCCCTTGGCTTTTTCTTTGTAGCTTTGGTTTCTATTGTAGAGTCTCCTCATTTGAAGCTTTGTAGGCCAAGGGTCATGAGCCGATGCCCACGCGGAGCCAGTGCAGATGGTGCCCTTGCATGCTAGGAGTTGCTAGGAAGATAAAGGTGCTCTTCCCTGACTGCCGGAACGCCTGCACTTCAAGCTGAGGAGGCTGAAAGGGCCACAGTTGCTGCTTCATTAACACAGCTGTCTTGAAATTTTTCTTGTTTGTGCTGTTTGTTTTTTAAGTGGATTGATAAAGTCTCCTTATTGCTTATGAGTGCCTTCCCAGCCACTGCCATTTGAACTCGGGCTTGACAGTGAGTCTAAGAAATAAAAAGGAGAGCCGTGAATTTGCTCTTGTTCTCCAGTGGTTTAGTGAACTTAGGGCAAGGCTAAATATCAGAGTGTATTGCACCAAAGTAGAATGATCTGGTCAGTAAATGTGATAGTTATCCTCAAACTGAAGGAATATGTCATTTACTCCTTTTTGAGTAAAATACTTGGAAAATGGCATTTGGTGGTAAACATCTTTATCCTTAAAGGCAAATACAGGAGAGCCTGATGATAAACACAGGCTGTTGCTGACAGAAGACCACACTGCACAAGACAGCAGCGAGGAATCCTCAGCCTATCAGTCAGATTCAGCTGAAAATTACAGGAAGGCCACAGTACAGGTTTAGTTCAGTAAATCTGAAGGGCTAATTGCCCACAGCAAGTAGCCCCTGCTAAAACAAGTCCACTTCGAGCCTGAGCTAGGTCTTGGAGGTCTAAGCTAGGGCCAAAGATTCTTAACATTTTGGGTATTTGAATCACCTGAGGTGTTTGCAGAGCCTGCAAGTTCTGGCCCATGGCAAAGGAGTCAGATTCTCTAGCTCGAGTGGGGCCTGGAAATCTGCATTTTAAGAAGCCCCCTCAAAGGCTCCTGACATCCCTGATACCCAGAGCCGCTTAGGACTTTCATGAGCTGGAGGCACTTCTACCTTTGTGGGTCCCTTATTCTATAAAAAGTAGTAAAAATTATACTTTGCAACTGTATTGATATAAACATGAATGTAACTGAGGCTGTATTATATTCCTTTTTTTAGTGTAAAAGAAACTATTTTTGTGGACTTCTAAAAGCTCATGGGCCCTAGCCACTGTGCCTACTGTGCCTGCTGGCTAGGTGGGCCCTGCCATTACGTGGATACTGTGCCTTTAGCTGTAACACCGAGCCTGTATCCTTTAATCTCCTCGGCCTCTAGAGGGTCAAAGTATTTATTTACTAATTGATTTCATTCAGGCATGCTCATCTGAGAAATGTAGGAGGAAATGGGACCCAGCTCTCTTGGTGACTGACAGCCTCCCCCTTTCACTATCTTTTCTCACCTTCCCACTCCCCCTTCAAAGTGAGCCAGGATCTCTTTACGTTTAGAAATCCATTCATATTGTTTTAACTCTCTTCCCAGGTCTCCACATGGCAAAGACCATGCCTGTAACTGAATTAAATGCCTTGCTTGAGAACAGCTTTCAAACTTTTCTGATCCCAGCCTACACTAAGAAAAACAACATACAGTGAATTAAGCCTGTTAAAAAAAAAAAAAAGAAATACACATTTTATATCAGGCCCTGTATACACAGATAGGACTGAAAAGTTTTATGAAGTATATTCGCCCCACAAAAATATTTTTCCTGGCCAAGTTTCACAAAATAATACTTACATTTACTGTTAAATTCACTAAAATTACCTATTCTGTTCTTTTAAAAATGCTGGTCTCACCCACTAAATTGATTTTATGACCCACTAATGAGTCACAACCTGCAACTTGAAAAACAGTGGTCAAAGGAGTAGCAAATATAAAAAATAAAATGAAGATAAAGATATGTCTATTTCTGCAATATAGGGATATACCTGCTCAGGGTAAGAGACATCTTACTCTTGGTGACAACATCGTCTGCTCCAATGTATTTGATGGAGTATTGCCAAGGAGGTCTCCTTTTTTTTTTAGAGTGGCACCTGAGCTAACAACTGTTGCCAATCTTTTTTTTTTTCTGCTTTTTTACTCCCCAGATCCCCCCAGTATATAGCTGTATATTTTAGTTGTGGGTCCTTCTACTTGTGGCATGTGGGACACTGCCTCACCGTGGCCTGACTAGCGGTGCCATGTCTGTGCTAAGGATCCAAACCGGCGAAACCCTGGGCCGCCAAAGTGGAGAGCGTGCGAACTTAACCACTCGGCCACGGGGCCGGCCCCCAGAGGTCTCCTTTTTCAGATCTGCTCAGTCAAATATTTAACAGGCAGCTATAATGGCTGGGCACTGATCAAGACTCCGTGAATATAGCAATAATCAAAACAGTCCAAACCCTCGTGCAGTGACATTCTGGTTGGGGAGATAGACAATTATCAAATAAATAGGTAAATAGATAGTGGTCAGACGGTGGTACAGAAGGGTTTTGCTCAGACTCTTCCTGAGCACGTTCACATAACACCTCCTTCACTCTCTCTCCTGGAAGGCATACACTGTCTTCGGATTTATCGATACCCTCAGTTTAAAGCATGAGAAGGATGGGGCAAGTAGTCAAGTCATCTTAAAAGGTGACTTTGCGTATCTTTTCTGTTATGTATTTGTTTCATGAATGGTTACTCAGAGATCGATATGCTTTTTTAATTTTGAAATTCTTAGTTACACAGTAATGGTAATAATTATCCCCAGATCTTCTTGCAAATGAGAGCGGGATCAATTTCACTAAACCAAGCTTTTAGTCAGTTTCAGAAGGCAGCAGCACCCAGTCCTTTTGATTGTCAGGACTGGTGTTCCTAGATGTCCCAGTTCCTTCCGAAGGAGGCCTCATATTGGACCCCCACCTACTCTTCTCCTGGTTGGTATCCTGCTCTGGATGACAGGGGTTAACCAGTGAGAATTCTGCAGGTGCTAAAAGTGTGATCACTTCAGATCAAGGCCAGAATCCACCCAATGGATACAACAGGCCAGGGGTTGGCAAACCTTTTCTCTAAAGAGGACAGACACTGAATATTTTCAGCTTCCCGGGCCATATAATCTGTCACGGCTCAATTCTGCCACTGTAACCCTAAAGCCATGGGAGACAATATGTAAATGAATGGCGTGGCTGCGTTCCAATAAAACTTTATTTACAAAAACAAGCAGCAGGCTGACCCCTGTTTGAGGCTGATGGAGAGACTACTTCCTGTTGAGAATACTTGGGGCTTACATTTGAGATAGGCTGCAGGGATGGGAGGGGAGAGGAAAGATAAAGGCAGTGAGGAAAGAGGGCCTACAAATAACAAAGAGCTAGTGTGGCCAAAGAGCAACATGCATGCAAGAAGGTGGCAGGAGGCTGAAATTTAACCAGGTGAGAACATGTACATTTACAAGCACGTGCAAACTGACCTTCTGCTGTTCTTTTACTTAAAAATCATACTATTTAAAAGATATTTTAAAATATTATTTAAAAAGTCATTTTCTATTAGAATCACAAATTTCTTCCTTGTATCAAAAGTTGTGCCACTATCCTGGTTACCTGTGGATTCACCAAGCAGTCCAGCAAGTCATCTGTAGAAATGAGTGTTTGAGAAGGGGCCGTAGTACCATGTGAAGCAACTTGTTCCACAATTGCATTCTCACTTCTACTCATCCTTCGTTGCCTCTTGGTATTATGCAATTTTCCAAAGTGTTCTCCATCTTTGCCAACAAAGTCTTTACCGTCACTTTCAAATATGCCTCCTCTTTCTGAGGGAGCTTCTTCAGGACTCTGTATTACAGGAACCAGATCAGGGCCAAAGGGACTTGCTGCCTCCTGTTTCACTGTTTCCAAGGTTAAGTTCTGGCGACCTGTTTGTCCCACCTCCATGTGGTTGTGCACATTTAATTCTTCCCCATTTGTTCTCAGCGCTTGCATTTCTATTACCTTAGATGTTCGGTAATGATCAAAAAAGGCAGAAACGGCTCCATTTAAGTAGCGACAATTGACTTCATGAGATGTTTCCTCTACCTAAGGAAAAAGGAAAACCCTTTAGAATGGTTATATGCACTTACATAACCTGGAAGACAAATGTGCTAGCTGGGGTTGACTTATCGTAGGAAACTAAGTGCCACGATGAAAAGCAGAAGCGACCTACCTCGGTTGGGTTTAACCAAGCTCTGGTGTTGTGTGGATCCTCTGCAGTTTTCAGGGCACATACAAGTGTGCGTGTGATTGCCTCTTCTACCCGGGCCTGGTGATCTTCTTCCTAAGTTGATTAAAAAAATACAGGTTTCTTCATTTGTCTCTGTGTCTCATGGCTTCAAATAGAATAGAGTCTCTCTTAATTGTGTGTTCTGTTCTCTCATTAATAGAAACTCTGTTACAGAAGGAACGAATATACTGTTGGCAGACCACAATTTTTATATGTTCACTATCATTTGCCATCTAGAAGAGTTGTAGAACATTTCACCAATCAAATTTAAGTATGTATCCTGTCTATAAGACATACGCATTAAGTGTGAACCACCTTGTGATATTTTGTCCAATGTTATCCATTCTGACATGTTTAAAATTTTTTTAAAAGTATTACATACAGAGGAATAATCCTTATAGAGTTTGATAAGCTAATTGTTTGAGGAATGGGAGAAAAATTATAATAAACATGGTGGGCCACAAGAATGAGAGGGTTAAACACCTGAATATGGTTTTCTTTTTTACGATACAATAAACTATAGCATTAATAATAAATTACATGAAAATCAACAACTTCTGCTCATCAAAGACACTATAAAGGAAAAAGAAAAACCAGATGTCTGTAACACACACAATTAATATGAGATTGCTATCGAGAGTATATAATCTGTACACATCAATAAATGACCCAATTTTTAAAAATGGGCAAAAGATATGAAGACAAGCATTTCAAAAAAAGGGCAATCATATGACAAAGAAACACATGAAAATATGCTTAACTTCCAGGGAAATGTAAAATGAAAAATCCATGAAACTGGCAAAAGAACGTCTGATAATTCCAGGTCGTGGAGAAATGTGCATTGACAGACAGAAGTCTTATACACTGATGGTCAGAGTGCAAACTGATAGAGCCATTTGGAAAACGTGTTGGCATTATCTTGTAAATTTGAGTACTGTACACCCTACAGACCAGCAATTCCACTCCTACATATATACATATTTTCTAGAGAAGCTCTTGCGCATGTGTACAGGAATATTCTATTTATAAAAGCAAAACATTGGAGGGGCTGGCCCCATGGCCGAGTGGTTGAGTTCGCGCGCTCTGCTGCAGGCGGCCCAGTGTTTCGTTGGTTCGGGTCCCGGGCGCGGACAAGGCGCTGCTCATTCGGGCCGTGCTGGGGTGGCGTCCCACATGCCACAACTAGAAGGACCCACAACAAAGAATATGCAACTATGTACTGGGGGGCTTTGGGGAGAAAAAGGAAAAAACAAAATCTTTAAAAAAAAAAGCACAAAACATTGGAAACAACTCAATTATCCAACAATAGAACAATGAACCAATAAATTACGGTACAGGAACACAAGAGAATATTATACCACAGTGAAAATGAATGAACAGCTACATGTTACAACACAGATGAGTCTCAGAAACATAATACTAAATTTAAAAAAAGCAAATCCCCACATGAGACACCATCTCACACTAGGATGGCTATAATCAAAAAGATAGATAACAAGGGTTGGTGAGGATGTGGAGAAATTGGAATCTTCACACACAGCTGGTGGGAATGGAAATGGCGCAGCTGCTTTAGAGAACAGCCTGGCAGTTCCTCAAAAGGTTAAACATAGAGTTACCTTATGTGATGGTTAATTCTATGAGTCAACTTAGTCAGGCTGTGGTGCCCAGCTGTTTGGTCAAACACTAGTCTAGATGTCGCTGTGAAGATATTTTGTAGATGTGATTGACATAATCAGTTGACTTTAAGTCAAGGAGATTATCCTCAATAATGTGGGTGGACTTCATCCAATCAGTTGAAGGCCTTAAGTGCAAAAACTAAGGTTTCCTGGAGAAGGGATTTTGCCTCAAGACTGTAACAGAAATCCTGAGTGAGTGTCCAGCCTGCTGGCCTATCCTACAGATTTCAGACTCCAGATTGAAGTTCAACCCTTGTCCGAGTGTCCAGCCTGCTGGCTTGCCCTGACTAATGTACCATGTGACCCAGCCATTCCACCCCAGAGAAATGAAAACATATGTCTACACAAAAACTTGTACAGAAATGTTAACAGTAGCATTATTCATAATAGCCAAAAGAAGACACAACCCAAATGTCTGTCAACTGATGAATGGATAAACGAAATGTGGTATTATCTACACAATGGAGTATTTTTCAGCCAAAAAAAGGGGAATGAAGAACCGACACATGCTACCATATGGATGAATCTTGAAAACATTATGCTGAGTGAAAGATGCCAGCCACAAAACACCACATACTATATGATTCTGGAATTGGTAAATCTATAGAGACAGAAAATAGGTTAGTGATTACCTATGGCTAGAGAGAAAAATGAGGGAGTAACTACTAATAGATATGGGGTTTCTTTTTAGGGTGGTGAAAATATTCTAAAATTGCTTACGTTATGGTGGCACAATTCTGTGAATACACCAAAAACTACTGAACTGTACACTTTAAATGGGTGAACTGTATAGTCTGTGAATTAGATTTCAATAAAGCCATTACTTTTTCAAAAAAAGCAAGCCCCAGAAGGCAACATTAAATATGATCTCCTTTGTATAAAGTTCAAAAACATGTAAAACTACACAAACATATTTTACAGGGACATACAAATATGTGATAAAACTCTTGTTTAAGCAAGAGAATGAGGCTAGAGAAGGGGACAGACGAGATGGGATGGGGAAGAGGGCAACACAGATGCAGGTTACTGCTAACTTTCTAGTTTTGGGGTTAGGTGATTTCATTGGTATTCATTATATTTTCCTTTATATCTTACAAATATGTTATATATATACTCTTTTATATGTATAAATACAATAAAAGACACAATAATGGAAAAATATGAGAGTGAGAGGAAAGCCCTTACAAATTAAAAATACTTTAAAACAAAGTTTGGGCAAATACTGATAAAATGAATACATTTCAATACTAAAAGAATAAGGTGAAAAGGATGAAAAAGGCACAAGTGAGAAGAATTGAGAATGTACTTTATCCCCTAGAATATATCAGAACAGACAGACTGCATTTCTCTAACAGAGAAACTAAGAAGGGATGAATATTACATCACCTGAACTGGACTAGAATCTCTACTTTCTTCCAAACCGATGTGACTCATGACGCGAATACCAGGGCCTGGAGTTAGCTTGAGCCATATGGATACGGCAGGCTTTGAAACCTAGGGGCTTTTGCAGCTAAATTTGGCAATGAGAAGGAATTATGGTCCAGTGCTCGAAGAGACAATGATAAAAGCAACACACGAAGAGGAAGACAGAATCACTCAGCTCCTACTTTGCACTCCAGTTTTTCAAGAGAGAATGAATGGTCTTCAAACTGTGAAGTACACAGAAAGAAGATAAGAAGGACCTGGAGTCCTAGACTGGTGGAGGACAGAAAGCATCCACTTTAAATCAGTATGAAGTCTTAGGACCAAACTTGTAAGTATTTCCTTGGAGCTTGTTATACTCAATGATACCAATCCTTTGGAAAATTCTGTCAGAGACGACTATATATAACAAGCTTCTAAAAAGACCATGGTGAAGGCTTTCAAGCCCTTCAGGCCATGTAAATTCAAATCTACATAAAATATGGACAAAGAGCATTCTACAGTACGTTAAAAAAATACACCACAATCAAGTGGGATTTGTTCCAGAAATTAAGGATGGATCCATATTAGGAAAATACATTGATATCATTTACTCAAACACCACATAGTGACTAAAGAGGAACATTATATGATCATCTCCATCAATGTTTAAAAAGCATTCAGCAAAATTCAACACCTTTTCTTGATTTTAAAAAATAAAAATGTAACAAACTGAGAGATACTTAACATGATTATAAATATATATATATAAAACTCAGCTCCAGATCCAGCATTTAACTTAAAAAGAGAAATTACTCAAGGGGGCCACCCCCGTGGCCAAGTGGTTAAGTTTGCGCGCTCTGCTTCGACAGCCCAGGGTTTCGCCGGTTCAGATCCTGGGCACGGACATGGCATCACTCATCAGGCCATGCTGAGGTGGCATCCCACATGCCACAACTAGAAGGACCCACAACTAAAAATATACAACTATGTATCGGGGGGCTTTGGGGAGAAAAAGGAAAAATAAAATCTTTAAAAAAAAGAGAGAGAAATCACTCAAGGAATTCTCTCTAAAGTCAAAAACAAGATAAGGATGCCCACTATTTCCACCATTATTTACTATTGAATTGGAGCTATTAGCCAATGTAGTCCGACAAAAGAAAACAATTACATGCAAACAAATGAAAAAAAGAGGTAAAAACTATTTTAATTTTCAGGTAATTTGAGAACCCAATAAATTCAATAAGAAATCACTACAAACAATAAAATAATTCAAATTAACACAAAAATCAATACCCTTCACATACACAAACAATATCTAGTCAGATGATATAATGGAAGAGAAGACTCTACAGACCACAGCAACAAAAAAGATGAATTACCCAGGGATAAGCCTTAAAAAGAAATGTGCAAATCCTACATGAGGAAAACTTTAAAACACTCGTGAAATAAAGAAAATTAGACTGGAACAAGTACAAAGGTATCTCATTCTTACACAGGATAATTCGACATCACAAAGTTCATATAAAATTTAATACGGATTGAATAAAAATGTCAATCTTTTTTTCCCCTGAAGCTAGACAAGTCAATTCTAAAGGTCATCTGAAAAAACAAATTCAAGAAGAGCCAGGGAAACACTGCAAAAGAAAAGCTAGGAGAGAAGTTAGCCCTACAGATATTAAAACATACTCTCTAAACAAAACAAGATAGAAGGGATGAAAGAATAGGAAGAAAGACCAAATGGAAGAAATCGATCCAAGTATGTACAGATCTCTCGTATACGATTAAGGTCACATTTCAAACCACCAGAAAAAACACAGACTTTAAAATAAATGACATCACTGACAATTCTATTGTCATTTGGTAAAAGATAAAACTAAATCTCAACCTTATACCATACACTAGTATAAACGTCTAAATGGATAAGAAACCTAAACGTAAAAAAATGAAACAATCCAAATTCTAAAAGGAAACGCAGGTGAATTCCTTCACGATCTGGAAGAGCATGAAATCTTTCTAACTATAATTCAAAACCCAGAAGCCATAAAGTTCAACATCACATCCGTCGGCGAGGCTGTGGAAGAAGAAAGCACTCTCACATACTTCTGATGGAGATGCAAAACGGCACAATCACCGCGAAGTGGAACTTGGCAAAACCTAACAACTAAAGATACATTTACCCTCTGACTTGGCAAACTCATTTTTAAGACTCTATCCCGAAGACACATTTCAACAAATATAAAAAAACATATGTACAAGGTTATTCACTGGCATTATCTATAATTACAAAAGATTGGAAATAACCCAAACATCCATTCATATGGGAACTACTGAATAAACCATGGTGCACCCATATATGGGGTATATATAACTGTAAAAAAGTTATATATAACAGAAGAAAAGAACATTTCTCTGTACCACTATGTAGTTAAATTCAGGATATTACTGTTATGTGATAAAGGTAAAGTGCCAAACACTATAAATAGTTTATTACCTTTTGTGTAAGAAAAGTGAGGAAATATGAATGAACAAATATGAACAAGCACATAAATACATAAATATGTAAATTCTTATTTATTCACATATAAGTAGTCATACATAAGTATATTTATTCATTTACGTATTTGTATATATATGTTTACAAAGAAGACACACTGGAATAATGAAATGAAAACGAATAAAAGTGGATCCTTATAGGGATGGGGGAACGGAGTAGAGGGGACAGAGACGAAAGGGAGACTTCTCTGAGTATATCTTCTAATGTGATTTTGACAAGTTAAATGTTTTACATATTCAAAATATTAAATTAGATCAAAATGGGGGAAAAAGTAAATCCTAATACTGAAAACAAACTGAAATAAATGAACCTAACTGAAATCAGTAACATAACCACAAATGAAAAGGATTCCTTCCTAATGACTTCTGAACACAGGGCTTTGTACTCCCTTAGTGGGATACAGTCAAATAACAAAACAGCTTGTGAAAAAATCTTAAATTTTACTTGCAAGTTTAATGGTTAGTCATATTAGTATTGGAATTCTGGAACTGCAAACTTTACATCTTAACAAATATATTGCTGGATAAAGCAAATAAGTAAATATGTTTCTGTTATTAAGGACCCAGATTTTCAGTGTAAGAGAAGAGATGAAAATACAGAAATGGGCTGGCCCCACGGCTGAGTGGTTAAGTTCACACGCTCTGCTTCAGCAGCCCAGGGTTTCACCAGCTCAGATCCTGGGCGCGGACACGGCACCACTCATCAAGCCATGCTGAGGTGGCGTCCTACATATCTCTGCCAGAAGGACCTACAACTAGAATATACAACTATATACTGGGGGGCTTTGGGGAGGAGAAGAAGAAGAGAGAGAGAAAAAAAAGACTGGCAACAGATGTTAGCTCAGGTACCAATGTTTAAAAAAAAAAAAAGAAAGAAACCAGAGGTTTTGAGCTTGGAAAAGAAAAAGATTAAGAGGACTCATGACAGGTATCTTCAAATATTTGAAAAAGAAAAAAATTCTATATAGTCTCAGAAATAATGGATATGGTCACGAGCAGGCAAATGACAGCTCGAGTACTTAACAACAGATGAGCCGCCTTAGGGGGCGAAGCATCCGTCAGGACTACTGCAGATGTGCCTTTGGCGCTGGGAGCAGAGGTGGACTCCATGGACGCTACACCTTGACGTTTGCTCCAACTCCAATCAGCATGCTACGAGCAGAATTTTTCCTGCCATACCTCTCACCTAATCCGCAAAGGCTACCCATCACTCTTCTCTAAGACCCATAAAACAGTTTCCTGTTACAGTACAGTCAAGTGTTGCTTAACAGTGGTGATGTGTTCTGAGAAACACATCATTAGGTGATTTTGTGGTTGTGCGAACATCATAGAGTGTACTTCCAAAACTAGATGGTATAACCTACTACACACCTAGGCTTTATGGGACCACTGGCGTATAATGTGGTCCACCGTTGACCAAAACTTCGTTATGTGGCCCATGACTGTTTTCCTTATGCTCCACCTATGCCAAAGGCATTTCCATTACCAGAGGATAAGAAAAGCCTGACTGAAGGGAGGATGTAGCTGCCAGAGAGAGAAGAGAGATGCAATCAAAGCCTCAGGTTAAACAGGGTATAGGCACAATCAAAGCCTTAGGTTAAAGAGACAGACGTGAGCTGTAATGGCAGCCACTTTAATTGTCAAGTAGAGCACACAACCAGGATTAAGCATAGCACACTGGAGGGAAGAGGCTTCTGGCAGAAATGAAGTGATAAAAACCTAGCTCTGAAAGACTCTGCTTTGAGAAAATGGGTAAGCCAGGACTAAGAATTCTGAAATTCATAATGAGGACCCTGAACCAAGAAGCCCAGATGGTGTGGGAAGGGACTGGCAACACGGGACACAAATGGCAGATCCAGCCAGGCCCAACACAATTCTCCTAACAACACTGGTCAAGGCAGAAGACCCTGCATGCTGACATCAGGGCCCATGGTGTACCCTCCAGAGAAAGAGAATGGCGCGTCACTAAGAATCCTATTTCCAACCTAAACATCCATCAGCAGAAAATAGAATACATAAATTATAGCATAGCAAGACAAAGTAAGACTGGAGTGTTGGTTAAAATTAATCACCAAGTTCTATAGACAAATTTTGTATATCTTAAAAGCAGAGATTACATTTATTTAAAAGAAAAACATACCAGCTCAATCCACGAGTTTACACTGACAGTGACAGGATCAATGGATTCTACATAATGCCACCAGTGTCTGGGAACAAAGAGAACCTGAAAACCAAACAAAAAATGGTTAGCACAAGAACAGGACGTTTTATTGTTATTTTAGAATCACACCCTAATTGAGGCTGCCAGAAAAAAAAAGGAATACAAATGAATTTATAGTAATATTGCTGTAGGAAAGGGAAACAAGAAAAAAACCCCACAGCCATTACTCGTAATAGCCAAAAAGTCAAAACAACCCAAATGTCCATCAACTGATTAACGGAGAAATAAAATGTATATCCACACAATGGAACACATTCGGCCACAGAAAGGAATGAAGTACTGGTAACATCCTATAGCATGGATGAACCTTGCAAACATCATGGTGTGTGAGAGAAGCAGACACAAAGGGCCATACATTGTATGACGGCACTTATGGGAAATGTCCAGAAGAGGCAAATCTACAGAGAAAGAAAAGAGAAGAGTGGGTGTCAGGGGCTGGGGGCACGGGTCAGTGAGGAGCCACTGCTCGCAGGATGAGGCAACTTGGTCAAGTCAAACTGTTAGAGTTGGAGTACTTGAGTGTGAAGGAAGCAGAAAAAGAGCCGGTGGGCAGGGAGCAGAGGAAGAAAAACAGGCAGGGAAGAGGGATGGTCGAGGACATAAAGTCTCCTTAGAGACTAAGAAAACCTTTCAAATTGTTAATAACATAGAAGACAGCAGCTGCCGGAGTTGTAAAGGGGATTGTCCCCCTGGGTAGCAGCACTAAGTACAATACCTTTGGAAATGTTTCAGAGGCAGTCAGTTAAAAGCAAATCATTCTCAGCTCATTCTGCTCTGTTGGCCCACCACCTGGATGCATTCCAACCTGTGTTTCTGTGCTTGGGTTCTAGCACAGCTGACCAGACATTAATTGTGAATAAATGTTCCAGGGTGCTCAAGTACCCAAGCCTTGACACCTTCTCTTAACCTGAATAAAAACGACTGTGAGTTCGTCTTCCTCCACAGTCCATTCTCCTCTTCACCAGTAGGGGGAGCTGTGTACCCCCCTCCCATTTCCCTTCCACGACCTGCGAAGCCGAGAAGTCCGTGTGTGAAGCCTCTAGCTGCCTCCCACTAGCAGCGCGGCAGAGAGGAAAACCATGCTCATTTGTACTGGTGGGGAGGCACGTGGCATGAGGACTTGAGAGAAGTTACAGCTGGTGGGTCCACTGACAGGTCATCGATGTTTAAAGCCCACATTACCTGTCCTGGGCTCAGCGTAACCATATGTCTTCGAGCTTTCCGGAACTGAGGAAAACGTTTTAAATCAGGATTGACAACATTGACTTTGCTGAACACACTAGATTCTTCATAAGGGATTCTAGTTGGATAAAGGAAAGGAGTATCTTCAGGAGGAAAGAGATGCCATCTTTTCCTGATTAAAAAAAGCAAGATACAAGTTAGTACACCGAACTTGAGACGAAACAGGTAGGAGGGCAGCAGCCACGTGTTCATTTTTACTCATTTTAATTCAATCCATAAAGAAATACAGGAGCAATCTCAGTGGTCACCTGGCCCATCCCTCACTCAGGGCTGGCATCCCCTCTGCAGACACCTGGCGGGGGAGGACAGCAACCAGTGGACAGCTCATGACTCCCTGAGGCAGCCCCTTTGTTGCTGGGACAGATCTAGTTTGTAAGATCACTGCTTCCTATCTCTAATCAAAGTCTGCCTCCTCATAAACCATTTCTGTCCTGACTCTAGAGCTACCCAGCACGAGCTCCACCCTCTCAAATACCTGCATTCTTAGCCAGAGGAACCACCCAGAGCTCTAACTAAAATAGTTTCCAGACTTCTCTGTTTGGGTCATAAATTCCTTAAGTTAAACATTTGTTAAGTTTATCCACGAAGGAAGAGAAATGCAAAAATGATGCCACATAGCTAGAAACTTGCATAATATAGGAATTTTCAAAAAGAAAAAATTGTAAAATGTTTCCATCACTTTAAATATTTTTGAAAAATAGAAGTGATAAATCTTAACTCACAACATGCCTGACACACCCATACTTCGGAGCCAACAGAGGGAGGAGAAGGAGGGAGAATTGTGAAAAGGGAAGAAAAAGACAGCGACAGAAATACACAGATGGGGAAGCAAAGAGAAAGCAAGATACAAAAACCACCCAGTTCTGGAAAAGCCCTCACGCCCTCCAGTGACCTGTTGCAGTTACAGTGGGGCAATTGTGTCCTTTTAGAACTGGGATGCAGTTGGCTGCTATTTTCAAACTAAGAAGTATACACTAAAGTCTTACTTGCCTTAGAAATGACAAAGCTGCTCCATTCCACTGTACCTGTGACGAGTTCGGGAGCAGTTTCTGGCATTCAGTATGTTTAGAATGTTAGAGCTGGAAGAGCTCTTAAGCGATCATCAGTCTAATCTCACTTTCAAAGTAGTGGAAGAGGGACCAGTGCTTGCTCAGTGCCATTCACTGGGCTAATGGTTGGTGGTGGACCCAGAACTAGGTCACAGATCTCCTGACCTCTCCAGGTACCAGGTCCTTCTCCTGCACCATAGCTGTGTTTCCCAAAGAAATAGCCATAATGATAACCATCTCATACAATTTGCTTTGCTTGGCTTAAAATGTAACATATATGCGTCCTCCTCTTGTTAATCGGAAAAGGTAGTCTGTCATCCTGTCCTCCCTGCTCAAGAATCCTTGGTTCTGCATGCTGAGAGGACAGGGAATAAGCAGTATTTGCCTGGGAGGCAAGACCCCCAGGCTCCACCTGCCCTTCCGGCCTAATCCCTCTGTCTCTAATGCGCAACTTACACGGGACCACTCACAGGCTCCTCTACATCCCATGCCTTCCCAGGGTCTTGCTCGTGCTGGTCCCTCGGCCCCTCCCATCTGTCTTTTGAACGCTTACCCATCCTTCAAAGTCCATCACAAATGGCAGCTCCTCTCTATCTTTCCCTGCTCTTTCCAACAGGAACGTTCTCTCTTCACTTTTGAGTTCTCCAGCTCTATAAAACCTTCCTCAAGAGCATGCACGTCCTGCCTTATATCACAGCTAGCAGTGGGCTTGCCTGCATGCTGGCTGTAAACTCTCTTAGAGCAGAGGCGTCTTGTTCACTCACCTCATTCACTTCCAGATTCCTACTGTAACATGTGGTACCTGCACAGCAGGATATTCAACGACCACTTACGGAATAGTTATTTTACTACTGCAGAGCTATATGAGGCCATAAAATACACTCTACTACAAAGTTCACATAAAACTATGTTAATTTTATACCATAGAAAGAACCCAGGTATTTTTGCTAATGTTTTTCCAACCTGAATTTCTTTGGCTTATTTCCCAATTCAGAACACATGGAAAGCAGCTACCTAAAATGATGCCCTCCCTTACTGAGTTTAAGTTCAGACTATTAACTCCACAAGGGCAGGGACCATGCATACTTGATTCACTGTTGCATCCAAGGTGCATAATAATGCACCTGAGAAGTTCAAGGACCTTTAAAAAAGACCTGATGAATCAAGGAGTGGACTACCTTACACCATTTTATAGTCTTCAAAGTACTTCACATGTGAAATCTACTCACAAACACACTCACTGTTTCTCTTAGATCTCATAATCCTCATAATCCTTTTCACGTCCAAAGGGTCTGAGAACTTGCATGTGGCCCTTGCTGCTTTTCCCTCTGGGCTCCCTGTAAATGTCCCGAGAGGCCAAGGGAGGAGACTGGGGCATCACTAATTGGGGGGAAATAAGGCTGCACATACAGCATTCTGAGTACATCCTCCAAGTGGCAGAAACACTAACTCTCACTGGACTCCCAGAACCAGGGACTACCAGAGTGCTGCCTGACTCAGCCCCGGCATCTCTTAGGGGCCACAGACAGTTGGAGATAAAAACCGACTTAAGGTAGTAAGATACTGCATGGTGTCTACATGGAGGCACAAACTACAATTTAGAGTTGAAAGGGGCCATAAATATCTGGTCCAGTAGTTCTCAAACCAGGCTCCCAGGCATCCCCTCAGCACTGGCAGGTAGCAGCAAAGCCTCTTCCTTTCAACAAACTGCTCTATTCTTATTTATTTAGGTTTGAAGAAAGGGTGTCCCTCCTTTTAAATAAAAGTTTGAAAGCTACAAATGCAGACTCTTATGTAAAAGAGCGAAGCAGACAACTGTCTGGCTGAACTGGGAGTGGAAGCCTGGAGTTTCAGGGTCAGCTTTCTGAAGACGATCCTCATCACAGCTGAGAGACACACGTGGAAACCACCAGTAAACTGTTCCCCTCACTTCACAAAGGAGGAAAGTGAACGAGACGTTAAGAGATCTGCCCTGGTCATGAAGCAGGCTGACAGGATGGAGCTGGGACTAAACCTTGGGGTCCTGCCACCTACCTGATACTCATTCCTCTTCCTGTGCAACACACACACACTCATGCATGCGCCTGTGCATTACCTTCCTTGGACCTGGAATACTAAGTTGCAACCGTAGGAGTCCAGATGACAGGGTGTATGGGCCCCCAGGGAGCCGATCCACAATGTACTTTCCCGTCCATTTCTTCCAGGAAATCCGAAGTCAGACCACATCACATCCTGTTTTGAAAATAAAGGTACAGTCCATCAAGAACCAACCAACTCCACTGTATGGCAGTGTTGCACACTGTCACTTAAGCGTCTGGTTTTTGGCCCTTGGAATACTCTTATAGAAAAAGCTATCGATGGAGGAGGTTAGGTTTCCAGAGAAGTCCAAGAGATCTTTTAAACCAATAACATATCTGAATTACTTCACTAATAGTAGTTATCCAACCAATATTTACTGACTGCCTACAACATGCCAGGCAATGTTCTAGAAGCCTGTAATGAATCGATGAACAAAACACATAAAATGCCCACCCAGATGAAGCTCATGTTTTAGAGGCTGGAGATAGACAGTAAATTACAGACATAATTATGCAGATTTCTAGGGGAACAGTGTTTCAGGCAGCAGGAACAGTGACTGCAGTGGAAGTAGAAATATTTCAAATATCTCTGAAGCTCAACTCAGGAAGCCAGAAGGTCGTATTTCCTGTAAGCAGTGCAGATATTTCTGGACACAAGTACTACATTAACTTTTTGCCCTTCAATGATCACATAAAAGAAGCCTTCTCCTAGGTTAGCGGAGTTATTTAAAACTATAGATGCCAGAGCTTTAGTTCATACCTGCTAAATCAGTCTCCACGTGGGGGCAGCAGAGCACACCTTCTGAAAAACACATCTATTGAAGACTTCTGCTGTACCAGCAAAAGTCATGCACTCCTAAGTGTAGTAAGTAATGAACTTTTAAATAGAGACAACACAGCGCTCTTGGCTTGGCTCTCCTTACACGTGGTTCTGCGGACAGAGCGTGCCCAAGTCAACTACTGACCCATAACTACCATCTGATCCAGTAGTTCTTAAACCAGGCTCCCTTGCATCCCCTCAGGGATGCTGCCCTGCTACCAATGGCTCTGCTCTACTTTATTCAGGTTTGAAGAAAGGGTTGTTCCTGCTTTTAAATAAAAATTGGAAAACTACAAACATAGTTTGACATAAACCGAAATCCATGGAATTAAAAATATGTATAAGCTAGAAAAGAACATACTAGTGAACCAGACATAAAGATTTTGTTTTATTCATTTTTTTACTCATCAATTTTTCCTACTGAGTTCTGAAAAATAAAACAAGAAAGACTTCTATGTTCAGAACATGGTCCTAAATGTTGACACCTCTTTTATCAGTATCTTCAATCTATATTTTCTATTTTTAGAGGCAAACCATTAAAAGCTGTATTCAAAGAGAAAGATTTTGGAGAGATATTTAATGGATGGTTTTGAGGAAGCCTAGAAAAAGGCATTTTCATTTTTGTTTTGAGTGATGAAAATAGCGGAATATGTGCACGTAACTAATGTCTGTTATGGAAGGGGAGTTCTTGCAAGGTCAGCACTACTGTAAATGCATATGGCTCACACGCAGCAGCTCCGGGGTGGCAAAAATCACATCCCCTTTGGATATAGCCCATAAGCTCCAGGCAGGGAGCTCTGTATTGCCAATGTCTAACCTAATGCCTGGCGCAGGGGGAGTGCTGATGACATTGGCTGCTTGGGACGGAAAGAAGAATCTGTTGGCTTATTATGGACAAATGGCTCAGGTCAAGAACATTTTTGAGCATCTACCACACACCTGGTATGACGCTGGGTGTTTGGAACACAAATGTTAATGCAACATAGGCCCCCCCTCCCGCCCCTGTTCAAATCTAACGTGGGAAATAGTCCCATAAATGGATCTTTTCAATACAGTATGCCAAGTGCTCTGACAGAAGTGAGCAGAGGGAGCTCTAAGATCACAGAAGAAGGGCTCCGGGCCCAAGCAGGAGCTTAGGAGAGGCTTCCAACTAACCCGGTCCTGGGAACGAGTCACAACACCTCAGTCTGGAAGTTAACTAAAGGCAGCTGAGAGACCTGCAGCATAAAAACAAAAAACGGGGTTCTGCCTTAGCTAAGAAGAGGCTGGGTTAAACGGTTCTTAATCTTTTTATAGACACACCCCTCTGCAAATCTAATGAATCCCAACACCCCTCTCCTGAGGAGAATGCACACACACATACAATTTCATAGATACGTTGAGGGAGTTGATGGGCTGACCCCAGGGAAGAACCCTGTTCTAGAGCACAGCTTCAGGAAGAGTCAGAGAATGAAGAATTTTCTGCCGGGTGGGGGTGACTATGAGAAACCGACGAGAGGTTTCCCTGACCTCTTAATCTAACACAGCAACGATGTGAAAAGGGAAATTACTTTGGAATAATTAGATCAGGGTGACCTAAACTACCTAAAATTCAGTTGCAAACTGGCTGGGACAGCCAAAGGGTGAAGGGTTTGTTGGGTAGGGGCAGAGAGAGGGAGTGAGTCAAAGTAAATTTGTCAGAAAAAAGAGAGCATTTAGTGTACCTACTTTGTGTTTCTTTTCCTCAGGTCTTGAGTTGGGACTTTCTGGCCAATTGAGTTCAGCTACTTGCAGGTAGTCAACTGTCTGAAATCAACACGGGCCCAGGAGACTCTGCCTTGAGTCTTGCTAGAAACAAGTGACCTGTTAGGCCGCTGTATATCAGTGGCACCAACACAGGTGACCAGTGGGGTGATCCATCCTGGGGTCTATTCTATTATCCACTTCAGGAGTTGGAAAAGTCTTCAGAAATCATCTATATCCAGAAAATTCTATTCTACATCACCCCTGAAAAGAGCAATCAAGTGTCTGGCTGACGGCTTACTACAAAATCAGTATCTGCTTTCTTGCAACTTCCAGAAGAAAGTCCTAGATTTGCTTTCTAGAGACAACAAATTTAACTTCTCTTCTGCCAAAAGTTGCTGTCTTTAAATTATCTGAAAAACTGTCAGGGCTTCTCCTGTAACTTTTTTTTATACCTAGACTCAGTAGCATTTTTCCTTTCAGCTGCTCTCCTCCCACTGCCTTTAGTTCGTCAACAGCCCTCTTAAAGCCTGGCTCCCAAACTGAACCCCAGGCACAGCCTGCGTGGTACCTTGTATATGCGATGGCAACATTCCATGACCTGGACGTTATACATTAATGCACTGCCAGTGCTGTGTGGTTTTGTTTTTAAGTAACTGAATTATACCACGGCTAATCTTGGGCTTGCCTGCCTTTTTCTTATGAACTATTGCCCAGCCATTATCTCTTCAGCCTTCACTCATTAACAGATTTTAGCAAATAGCCATGGGACCCTCCCTTTATCCCTCTTAAACTGAATCTTGTTAGTTTCTGCCTGATGCTTTGCAATGTTTACATCAACCTCTGTACACTACTCCCAAACTTCATCTCCAGTCTTTTTCTCCTGTCCATGACTAACCCCGTATTTTCAGTTGCTAACAAGTTATTTCTACCTGCTTACTGAATCCTTACAGTGAGCCAGGCCCTGACTCTAACATTTTATATGTACCATCTCACTTAATCCTTATGAGATTAAAGGTAGTTGTGCCCATTTTACATATGTGGAAACTAAGGGACAGTATTATCCTTCTGACAGTCCTATAAAAAGACGTGGTGACATTTTTGGTTGTCATGATGAATAGGAGGGGGTGCTACGGGTTATTTGATGGACAGGGGCCACAGATGCAGCTTAACACAACAAAGAAAGGTCCTGTATCTTGTACAATTTTAATAATGCTGAAAAATCTGACCTTAATTACCTGAGACTAGAACTCTTACTCTATTCCACATACCATCAAAGGATTTTTACATGCATATAGATGAATATACTTATTTAGCCTCATTTCCAAGTGTTAAATACAAAATGTTGGAAATATTCTAAGAATTTTATCTTTATTATTTTAAATTGGGCCTTTTCCTTGTAGGTTGGTGCAGGAAGGGGATGCAGGCTCTGATATGAGAACCACTGCTGTACCATCTCTACAGCTCCCCCAGTACGGACCACAGACCTCCCCGCCTTTGCTCCTGCTGTTCTCTCTGCCTGGCTGGTCTTCTCCCCATCCCTTCCCACACCGCAATTCACATTTCTCTTCCAAGACCCAATGTAAATGTCACTTCCTTGAACCCTTCCACTGCCCCTTGTGCAACTTGGTCATTCTCTTCCAAAGAACGTTCATTCTTTGCCTCTGACCTCACAGCAGCAAAAGTGACCTTAAAAGGTTAGGTCCTGTCACTCCCTTGCTTTACACGTAGAATTAGACCCAAATGTCCTCTATCATAGGCCTGTGTGACCCCTCTCATCTCTCTGACACCTCTAACCCTCTCTGTCTCATTGGCGAGGCTTCAGTCAAACCAGCCTTCTTTTTTTCAAAAAAGGCAAACATTTCCCTTCTTCAAAGCCTTTTCACATGCTATTCACTCTGCTTAGAAAGCTCTTGACCCTCCTTTCTCATATTTTAGGTATCAGCTTAAATATCATCTCCTCAGAGAAGGCTTCCCAACTTACCCTATCTAGAGTCAGTCCCTCTGCAGCTACCCTGCTGTTCGGCCCATTTTTGTTTACTTCATAACACTTAACAACAGTTTGGCCATTACTTGTTAAACTCACTTGTCTGTCTTCTTCACTAGAATATGAGCTCCCCGAGGAAAGGGGACCAGGGCTGTCTGTGACTCTCTAGGCTGAGCACAGCGCCCGAAAAACAGGTGTTTGTGGAAGGAATACGTAACCGCTCACATTTTACAATTGTTTTCTGTCTTTCAAACACTTACTTGCCTCAGTTACTCCAGCAACTGGCAGACGCCACAGCATACAGCAGCAGCAGAGCTCAAATCTAGTTTCTGCATTTATCTAGCCTCAGCATTGGCACTTCCTGTTTTTTACTGGCTGGAACTCTTATTACTGTTTTGCTTCTGGAATTTTTTTCTTGGGCAAATATAGGTCTGGTGGGTATGGTTTGGGGTTCCTTGGTCATCCTAGGCCAATGCCCAAGTCTAAACAACTCTCCTAACACACAGCGACTGAAAACAGCCTCTGGGAGAGCCTCACATGGAACCCAGCAAGCTCCCTCAGGGTCTGCAGCGTCGGAAGCGGAGCACCCCAGAGCAGAGTGTGCGCCGGAGCTCGGCCTGGTTTC